GATGAAGAGGTCATCTTTGAGGTACTGTTATAGGGCAGGGAGAGGGGCAGCCCAAACCCTGCAAACCTGCCTATTCTAAATGGGTTCTGCCATCCGCCGCATCAACACATAACATATGAGACTTTAATCGGAAGGAACTTTAATAAAACTAGGAAACAATACAGGAAAGGCAAAGAGTCTAGTTTCTAAATGAAGCACCCAAAGTTACCCATCCCCTCGTGGGTAAAAGTCCATCCAAATGGGATTGGCCCAGAGCAAGGCCCCAAGGCCTGCCACAAGTCTAAAGCATCTTCCAGTGGGGACCCTCAGAAAAGGGTCACAAACAACCGGACAAGCCCGGAAGGAAAAGAGCAAAATCAACATCAAGATAAAAGCTGCCATTGTCACCTCCCCACGGGTCTCACCCACATCTGTGTCACCCAGTCCATGACCAAAAGACAAGCGCAGTTTCTTCACGTGTCTCTAGGCTCCATGCGCCTCTTCCAGGTCTCCTGGCTCCATCCTGCTTCCTTCCTCAGTCTCTTCCGCAGCCTCTTCTCCTCCTGCTCAGCTCTACCCTTCCTTGGGTGGGGCAGGGAACCTGGAACCTCCCCCCTTCCTGAGGACCAACCTGTTACAGTACCAGGCTCCTGAGTTAGTTTTAGGAACTTTTAAGGGGGCCTGGCGGTCATACAATAGCCAAGTTGGGGGCGGGGGACAGTCTACAAATTAGCCTCTGGTGCCCTTATGATTCCCTAGTTTTTAAAACTCAACCCCTGTAACCTGGGACCCACAGGATCCAAAGCCCCAGCCCGAGAGCAGTGGGGACTTGCAGTGCTGAGGCCCGCATCCTCCTGCTCGGCCTCAGAAGCAGACACCCTCATCCCACTCGCTCCTCTCCCCTGCACCGTTTGCTCCCTCTGCTTGACTCAAACATCTGTTCCCCACCCACTCCTTCGTCACCACCCGCCCATCGCTCATCCTCTCCCAGGCGATGTTGTCTGTCGGTGGCACCTCCCTGTCACAGAAGCACAGGCCTGGGTGCACCCTCCCACACCTGCAGCTTTCCCGGCAGGTGGCCGCCCGCAGCCGGCGTCTCCACCGCAGGGCGCTCACTGGGTCCTGGGGCAGCTGAGCCTGTGGGACAGTTGTAATGCTACGTCCCTAAAGCGGCCCCAAAATGTTTCCCTGGAACGTAAGTTTGTCCTGGCTGTGCCCTCAGGGGCTCTGCCAAACAAGTTTACTCTCTTACATGCCATTTTTTCCCCAGCTGTGTGTGATGTTTCACTCCACCTGCGTTTCCCCAGGCAGTGGATTTTGGCCTGTGTCTCCTGACCTGCCCTTCCCTTCCACCACCGCCGCCTGGCCCCATCAGGGCCTCACCTTCTCCTGGTGCCCCCCCACTCCAGCTTTCCCCTCTTGTGATTCTTCCTTACTGCCCCGAGATGAATCCTTCCAGTACATTGACAAGCAAACATCTCCACTTGGGTGGTGGCTGTAGGAGGGCCCTAAAATTCACCTGAGTTGAAAGTCTTCTTTCCTCTGACTCCAATTTTATGTACGATTGATTCCGACACAAAACCTGTGACCTCAAGGGAACCAGTGAAATTCAGAACATCCCGCCAATGGGGCCAGGCCTGCACCCTTTCTTTGCCTCCTCCAGCTGCGTCATCTTTGGAGGTCTCCTTGACTACCTGCTGGCAGCCTCTCCCACAGCCACAGAACCCACAGGCCTCACCGCTGCTCTCTGCATATGCTCTTGTCTCATTTTGATATGAGTCCAAGTGTAGGTCCTCCAAGAATGTGTACACCCCACCCCTCATTCCACAGACAGCCACTCAAAAACAAAAACAAAAACACTTTGAAGACAATGGTAAGCTCCACTTACTGTTGAGTAAGTTACCAGGACTCTTTGAGTTTCTTTCCTCCTTTCTTCAGTGTCCCTCCTGGGGGTGTGCGTTGGGCTTCTGTTTTCTAACAGACTCTGAGGGGGACCCAGCACTGTGGTCTGCCCACTGTCGGGTAGAGTGAGCCAAGGTAGGGAGAGGGATGCAGAGGATGATGATGAAACAATTTATTCACCAATAATTACTGACTCAGGTTCCCCAAATATCTGATCAGTGTGTGAGCCCTTCACATCTAACAATGAGTCCTAAAGTTTTCCTGAGAAGGCAGGCTGGCCACGCCCTGTGACCGTTCATTAAAAAAAAAAAAAAGTCAGGGCCTCCCTGGTGGCGCAAGGGGTTGAGCACAGCACTATGAAGCACTCCGAAGGCTCTGCAGCACGAGTTCGATCCCCTGCCGGCCAGGAAGCAAGTCTCGCCCGCTGCTCCTCTTAGCAGTGGATTTCAGTAGATCCACCTGCTCTGCTCCCCACTCTGTCTCTGGTGAATCCTCTCACCCCCCAACTCTGGCCTGTACCCCAGCTCGTGTATGCATAAATAAATAAATTAAAAAAAAAAAAAAAAAGAAGTCCCTGTCTCCCTGCCATGTTCCAGGCACTCTTTCCGGAACACTGGTCTCCTTCATTTCCTCAACTGCTGTCCCCGAGTGGCGCGGCTGGTATGCGTGCTAATTTCCCTCTCCCTGGTGCTTTTATTTTTCAGGTTGCCCGTTTACACTTCTGTACACGTTAGGGGGCAAGCAGGCAGGCTGGGCAGGGGTGCTGGGCAGGGGTGCAGGAGGCAGGCAGCACAAATCTCCACGCTCTCTCTCAGGCATCCTCCCTCAGTCTCCTGCCGCCTCACAGCCTTCCTCAGAGCAAAGCCACCTTCTGTCCTTCCCTGGTGTCCACAATCACAGGCGCCCACACAACCTAGGAAGCTCGCAAGACGGCAGGTGGTAGCCACAGAGGCCAACGGGAGGACATAACTTCACTTTCCCTACACTGACCCTAGATCTGAGGTATCCGGGAGGGGAAGAGAGGAGAAAACAGTGGGGCTGGGGGAACAGCACAAGGGACTAGGTGAGGCGCTGGGGGCATGGTGAGTGGGAGAATGTGGAACCACACCCGAGGGGAAAAATTACATACAGCCCCAAAATCAACAATGATGTAAGCAAAAGGTACTTCGTTTAAAAATAAACTAAATAAGTAAATAAAAAAAAAAGACCCTGACGTAGCAGAAGCGCTACAATGTGGAAGAACTTTTGCACAGTGGCGGGGAGAAGCGCTGTCTGGAAGCGAAGCAGACACAGAAGTGCTGAGTCAGGGGAAGCGAAGCATCACAGCGATTGACGTTCAAGCCTGCCTGCACCTGAGAATTACCTGAAGAGAATTTAACAAATACTAGTGCCGCTCTTACTCCAGGGAGTCCGGGCTATTGGTGTATTTGGCTATTGGTTAATTGGTGTGAAGTGGGAGCCAGGCATTAACAGGCAAAAATCTCCTCAGGTGAATCTCGGGGAAGGCCAGGTGGAGAACCACTGAGCTTCAGTGGCCACCCGCCTCCTGCGGTGCCTGTGGCGGCTGCAGCCTGACTCCTGCTCTGCGGGAGGCCCATGGTTCAAGTTCTCTGGCAGACGCTTTCGGCTATTTAATCATTTATAGTTTCTAGTTTCCGCCTTATTCCTTGCTAAGAGAATCCTAACTTTGTACACGTATTGGAGCAGCAATGTGATCAAGGAAGATGGTCCCAGCTCCAGAGGAAGAAGCCTCATTGGGCTAAAGCCAAACAAGGTAATTCCACCTCCCCTTGCCCGTCTTAGAGATGGGTGGGGATGTACCCCAGTTCTGACCAGGGCTGGGTGGAGATGGGGTGGAGGGAAGGGGTTCTGTGAAAGCTTTTCACCTTTGAAAGAGAGAAACCAGAGAAATACCCCTCGCCTTCGTCTGCATTTGGAAGCTATGTTGGCATATGTGATGCCTGGAAGCTTCTGGAACCATCTTGTGACTTTGAGGGGAAAACCCAGAGAACAGCAGAGAATCTGACCATAGCCCAAGATGAGACTGCTGCTGAATTGTCAACCCCGAACCACCTAGCTTTCTCACTACTGAACTACGTGCTTACTAAGTGCCACGTTGTCGGTCTAAGCACCTCCCATGGGTTACTTAGCCTGAACTAGCAGACATTTCATGTACTACCTGCTCCTCAATGCAATTTAGGCATCTCTCCCTGAGATAATACTATACTACTGGGATGTTGTAGGGTAAATGAATTAGTCAGGCTTTGTACGCCACCAGCCTCTGGGGCCATCCCGTGTGCCTTGATCATGTTGATGCAGAAGGTGCTTGGGAGCGTGGGTCTGGGGGCACGTATGCCTGACTGTGGACACCTGGAACATGACTGTGGGCACACGTAAATGTGGCATCACTCAGAGATGGATGATGGCGCTGAGAGGACGAGCAGTGCGACTACAGAAGAGGGGAGACCAGGAGACAATGCCAGAGAGAGCCCAGAGAAAGAGTGTAAGATTTATGGGGGGGCTGGGAGGCTGGGTTGCCTGCTTGCCTTTCTCCCAGCCCCCCTCTACTGGTCCATGCCAGCTTCCATGCCTGTTGTGCCTGTGTACCCGGTTCCCTGAGAGAGCATAAGAGCCTGAAAAATCCACAGAGGGCTCAGAACTCTCCATTTGCCTCCCCGAATCCATGTGAACCTGCCTGTGCTTGCTGGCACAACAGATTGTTCATAAAATGGCCAAAAGGCAGCAAAAGCCCTCAGAGTTAGTGTTCTGTCTACATAACACAGACCCACCTTGTACTGACTCTTAATAAATATCCCCATTATTCTGTGTTCGGGATGCTTTCAGTTGATGTCTTTCCAGTCATTCTACAAAGTTAACAGCTACTTCTACCTGTCTCTCACCCGCCACCCCCCCACCTTGCCTTTCATCCCTCACAGGTCTCTCTACTCTTAATCCACTGCTTCCTCCTTCCCCTTCTCTCCAACCCTCCAACAAGAGGATTTGAGTCCCCAGGGACTGTTCAGGGTCTGCTCCAAGGAGGTGCACACACCCCTCTTAAGGCACATTCAGTGGACGCCAGGCCTCTCTCAGCCATCATCACAATTCCTAACTCTTTGTCACAAGTTATGAAGTTGGTGGGTGGTGGCTCAGCCCCTGATTCAGGCTCAAAGAACAACACAGGTGCAAACAGTTTACACAGACTTTATTTTTCACCCGTTGAACACAGAGAGGTCTGGGCAGGCAGAGGTGCCGCGATCACCTCCCCTGGTTCACAGACACAGACTGTGAGGCAGAGGGGGTCCTACTCCTACCACAGATTGCTATGGGATTATCACATGACACATTCATTCTTGATTCTATTTACACCATGGGGTGTGGAGAGGGTACATTTCTTACACTAAAAATATATACTTTGGAATCTCTAAAACAAAAATATCTCTATCTCTACATGAGACCTACTAGAAAGAACATAGAAAACAAGGGAAATGTACCAGCACCTCAAGTTGTCCCCTTCCGTGGGAAGGCTGCTCTGCTCTCCACCTGACACCACTGGCTTGGAAGGGCAGCCACAGCTAAGGATCAGACAGACACAGATAAACAAAAGGGAGGCTTATCATCTTGGAGTGAGTATGGGAGAAAGGAGTGGGGAGGAGGATTTTGGCCTCTTTTGCAAAAGGAGTAATTGCACATTCAGTTTGGTACTTCTGTTTCCAACATTATTGCACAAGGGACCAACCTGCATGCTGAGTCAACTGCAAACCTGCTAAGAGGAGCCCAAGCTCTGCTGATGTCGGCCAGGCTCGGAAGATGCCGGAGGAGGGTGTGCGCACGCGCTCGCTCTCTGTCATAAACTAAAAGGAAAAGTTCTGAATTTTCCAGTGGACGAGGTTTAAGAACACGCTATTCCTCTTTTCAGGAGGATCCAAAACCATCCCATTCCCTTCCAGCACAGAATCGCCTGAAAGAACCATGCCCGTGGATGTGGTAGTCCACTCTGGTTCACGGGACACTCACTTCCTTTCCTCCTTTCATGTTTCAAGCAGCCACGTAATTACTTCACACCTTTTTTGGTTATGAAAATTAGCCTCCTTTCTGGTAAAGAAATGTTAATTGAGTCAACTGCCCCTTCTCTATAATTGATGAAAAAGACCAAGGCCACCAAGAATCATAAAGAATATATTTGGTAGAAAAATCACTTCTATTTGGTTTTGGAATGTCTCTTTTCTGTTTATATAAATCTGATGAGCTGGAGGGCGTAGAATCCCTCACCATAAATATGGAAAACAAATGTAAAGTCCTCGTTCCAGAAAAACCTAGAAATATCCAAGTTCCTCACCTCTCTCACCACCGCAACTGGTGGTGGTTTTTAGGACCTCTGACCAAGAACATTTTCCCTCCAAGGACACTTGAAAGACTGAGGACAAGGCAAAAAGAAGAGGAAAGGGTTTTTGCAAAAATGAGTGAGTAAAAGGGGAGGAACACAGGTAATACGTCATTTGGCTAATGGAATCACAGAAGAATTTCTACTTTATGGGCGGAGGGACAGCTACAAACACAAGAAATTCAAGAGGATCAAGGACATTCAGTGCAGGGTTCCGGTGTGTCCTGCCAGGACATGGCTTCGAAACCTGAGAAGTCCAAGGAAAACACAGTAACAAACTGGCAAAGACTTTGAAAGACCTAGGAGGATGGTTCCCGCTCTGCAAAAGGAGACAGAGCGAGAACATGCAGTGTGGTGTTCTAATGCTAGTCAGGGGCAAGCCAGAGGCCCTGGGGTCACGTTTTCTCCGATGCTTCAGGAACACACGGACACTCAAAAACATGCACGTTGGAGTCAACTGCAAAGCTCCGAAGAGAAGCCCAAGAGCTGCTGATTTCTGCTGGGCCCACAGAAGTAACAATGAAATCAACTAAGAAGATGCAGGGAGAATTACCGGCTCCGCTATAGGAAGGAAAATCTGGAGAGTTGAGTAAGTAGAAAATTAAGTAGAATTGGGAATTGTCTTTTTTGATAGCCAGAGACCTCTTGAAGGTGACAGTTGTTATAGCCTGAGATGTCAATCAAGTCTAAAACTTAGCACAGACCAGACCTTTACCACACATTTGTGACTAGTTTAGAAGCCAGTCACACCCCAGACAAAGAAACAGCAACTAATCACACTAGTTTTGGGCAGAGGTGGCTCACTCTCCCTCCACCACAACCACCACAGAGAACTAGCCTGCATTTTATGTAACCAAACATATTTGGCAATTTCACAGCATATTTCTGCTGGTCTTTGCTTTCTTTTTAGACCCATCCTTCCCTAAAATTTATGAACTAAGATGTAACCCACCCACTTAGCAATTCTAATTCTTCCCCTTAGAGCCAAGATTCTACCTACCAACATTTTCTTAAGTCCCTGGCCTCCTGCTCTTCCTTTTTCTACCATCCTGTGAAGGCAGACCACTCAAAACTATTCTTGAAATCTGTCCTTGTCATCAAAGAGGTGGACCACTTCACTGCCCCAAGCAGACATAGGTACAGAAATAGCCTAACCAACTACCTGCCTTGCTTTCCACCCCTAAGTTGTTTCTCCATTATGTGGAGCTTAAATGCCTCTTTCTCTAAACTAATCTGACTACACCTGCCATCAAGCTATTCTGTCAGAGAAGTCACAGAGGTGAACACCTAGACGGGAGAAAGACCATATTTTGATGTACCTGCCCATCCCCTTGCTAAGTGCACACGGCACAGCGGAATGGAAATCTTATGGATAAACTCTTATTTGTTGATAAACTCTGCCCCCACCAGCTCTGCTTCTCCGCCACTCCCAGGCACCCACTCTAAACACGGCCCAGCTGACTCTGGCCCCATGGTCGTCACTGCAGGCCCGTGCAAGCAAGCAGCCAGAATTGGGAGTTAGCCAGTGTTTGGGAGTTAGAAAAGATGAGAGAAAGAAAAAGGAATGTTTCCACCACTGAGAAGTAGTAGAAATGGCACATTATTTGACAAAAATCTAATGGTTTAAGGACTGGCACAGACTTCTAGTAGCTGACACTCCTAATGTGCAGTAACCTGAGGTTTTGGCTTGGGAAGGACTCAAAAGTACACATTTCGTCCTGTATCTGCACTGCAAAGTGTTCGCAAAGACAGATTTCTTACCCTCAGAAAACTTAGTGTGCACAGGCATTATAAGACATCGGGATTAGCAAAGAGATTTTTTTCCTTAGTGACGTCACCTGTTTTGGTTGCACAATGGACTCGTCCCTGTTACATTCCTTACAGTCGTGATGAGGGTGGGGGGCGGATGCAGCAGTCACTGGCCTCCTGCACAGAGGTGGCAGGAGACGATGGAAGAGGAAGAAAGGGGGCACGTTCCAGGGATCAGAGAATGGGAAGAGAGGCAAGCTCCAGGAGCAGCCCTACAGGGAGAGGGAAAGACAGCCAGGAACCTTTTCCCACTGACAGATTGCCTTTTGATTTTTTCTAAATTAGGTAGGTAAATGCATTCAATTATTACATTTATCCTAAAGTGACAAAATGTGAAGCTTTGGCTCACAAAGATTTTAATGCTCACATATTTCAAATAAGCATACCTGATCCCATCTGCACCAAAAGAAAGGAAACCGAGGCCATCTCTTAAAACAGCCTGTCAGCAGAATTCAGACAAACCAGGACTAGTACCCACAATTCATTTTGGGCTATCATTTTGACATTTGAAAGCTGTGTGACATTCAGCCAGTAGGCACCGGCGGGCCTCACTTACTGCTGTTTACAGCAGGTATCCATTCTGAGCGGTTGGTGCCCTCCTGTACCGGTTGTTAAGAATTTTTAAAATCAGCTGTGTAAAACAATTGTGGCTCCAGGAGACAGTGAAATATAAAATAAATGCAGGATACTTCCAATGTCAAAGGTCTTTAAGACTAGAAAACTACTACATTTGAAGAGTCCAAGGAATGTAAGATTCCACAAAGTGATATAGTCCAATCATCACCTATGAGAGGAAAGCACACTGGGGAGATGTCCCTCTGTCCAATGATTTTTCAGGGTGGAAAATGAATATGGTCGGATTCCCTGGTTACTGATATGCTTTCTCTTCACATTCTGTGCACACAGGGAAGGAAAGTCTATAGAACCCAAATCCTTGAAAATCACTTCAACAGAGAAAACTATAAAGTTTTAAACTAAATGTCAAAATAAATCTTACCACTCACTGTTCATTTTCCAGCGTGGCTTTTTACATCTGAAAGTCAGAACATTACTGACTAAAAGAAATTCATGGTGCTGAAGAAACCACATGGCTGAGGGCGGTTTTGGTCCATTGAATTGACAATGGTCACTACTAAGGCAACTAAGGAGACGTGACGTAAGCACTTAGATCTCTCCAGGAATGGAATCAGAATGTATCAAGAGACAGCAGCAAGACATGGATGTTTCCACAACATGGCCAATAAAAACACCTTATATCTCACTTTCTACCCACAAACAACGAGTATCAAATCTTTCCCAGATATCCAGAAAGCAGACACTATGACAAATATTTCATTTAGGAACTCCTTTCTGGCACCTAAACTCGTTCCCTCTGTACTAATTTAAGTTCATTCTAGTAATCTCTCCTCTTGAAACTAAGAGAAGCTATTCACTTTCAATTTTACTGATTTTCCCCTGAGCCTTTTCCCATCCAAGCCTAAACAACTCCAATGTCCTCCTTGGCCCCGTCATCATCCCGGTTCTCACTGAGCTATACAGACGGCTCCAGTGAGCAATGAAGGCGCACCAGAGTCAAAGGTGCCTTCCCAACTGCAGAGGTGGGCACTGCCAATGCCCACATTGCCCCTCCTCGCAGCAGACCCTCCCGGCAGCCTCTGAATCTGAGCAGCAACCACCAGAGGAGGCAGTCAAACCAAGGCTACCTAGGAGTCTGCAGATTCTATCCGACTGGGGAGCTATCCCTTTTCTTTCTGCTATCTTCCTACCTCCCCCCAACCCCATCCTTTAGGAAGAGGGACTCCGTTGAAGGAATTCTCAGTGGCAGAATGGCTCCAGATGGCTCAGGACGCCAGCAGAATGTTTCAGAAAAATGACTGGAAAATGGGAAGCAGGGTCTTCAAAGATGTAGTTCTGAAGAGAACGAGAAGGAAGAGAAGTACCAACAGAGGGTGGTCTTCTTCCACACTCACATCTGGTGACGGGTTGCTGGCGTGGGGGTAGCTGGATGCCCACCCGCACAAACCATAAATAACTGGATGCTTCAGCATGGCTTTGATATGACCAAGGACAGGGCCAGATAGGTCTCGCTTCTTCTCTGAGCGACTCACCATCTTCTCTGTAAGCAGAACTTCCCTGAGGCACCTCATGGCCCAAATCTTCCATCCCAAGCGAAGACTTTTAGTTGAAGAGACTGAATAAAAGTGTTACAATTAGACCAAAAGGGAACACATGATTCATTCCTGCTTTTAACACAATACTTTGAAGATGTCACCACAATTTGGATCTGGCTATATTTTAAGTTCATTTACAAGTAGACTAGTTCTCAACTAAAAATAACCATGTGCGTTATACATTTCGACAGCTGCCTGGATTTTCCTCTGAAGGAAACAAGATTCTATATTTCACTCACATTCAGCACAGATTTATTTTAACCCATTAGATGAAGAAATAACCTGCCACTACCACCCACGGATGGCTGTGACTTTTCAAAGCTTTTCAGTTTCTCCTCAGAGGAGCCCCGTGAGTGAGACTGTTAATTATTATTATCCCCATTTTACTGCTGAATAAACTGAGTGGCCTGGCAGGCTATCCATTAAATAGTTTGACCAAGTCTCCTAATTCCTAACTTGATGTTTTTCTTTTAACTAGAAAAGCTGCCTTTAATAAGACCTAAAATGCTGCCTTTAGTTACATAACTACTGAAACGTAAATGGTGCTTGGACTAAATTATTCCAGTAACTTGGGTACATAGCCTACCTCAACGTAGGCAAAGATGCTTCAAGTTCTTCCATTTTCTTCATTAACCTAATTAAATTTGATATATGCTAATGACAAATGATATATAGTATATAGTTTCCAAAATAAGAAAATTTACAGTGTAATATTTTAAAATCCTGACTGGCAATAATTCTCATTATGAAACAAGTTTAAATAAGGTTAAAGTCTATAGTAACACCATCAACAATACACAAATATTTTAGCAATTTTCCAGTTTGTGTGGTGCAGCAAGCAGAGAGATATTCTATAGATTTTGATATGGGAATTAGAAACAGGATTAAGGGAATTAAATAACGAAAATATGAATGCCCAAATAATACCACTGTGATTTTGGGCCTGTGTAAATATGCAGTTGTTTACATAGTTTAGAATATGTTGTTATACTCAAGGGCTTATAATTATTCTTGTGGGGTTAACGGTGGTCCTGGAAGTGCTATTTAACAAATTCAATTTTATATCTAAAATATATTTTACTTTCAAGATGACCTCCATTTTTAAAGGTCACAAATAAATAAAAAAATCAGCAATTATAGTTCTTTTTACCTTTTTTCCTTTGTATTTCCAGAATTCATACTGAGAGTTTTCCAGACCGTGGTTTTAGGCATTTCATCAGATATATTGATCTCAGAGGGGTCACACCTGAAATCAATGGTTAGGACATAAAGTTTAAAACAAATCACATCTCAGTCTACAGTGACCACCACCTCACCAGAAGGGAAAAGATTAGATCTGAGGGAGCTCAGCTAACAGTTTTTAGGAGCACTGCAACCCAGATGGTCCAAACGCAGAGACACGAAGTTGCCATGGGTAGTGCTGAGAGTTGGGCTACAGTGCCAGGTGGCCCCTGCCCTGGCCCCACAACTATCCTGCACTCCCTCCAACAACCACTTTGGGGCTGCTGATGACAACACATGATGACAACAGTGGTGGCGTCAAGAGCTCTCACTTACTGAGTGCTCGCTGTGTGCCAGGCACAGCGGAGAACACTTCATTCATTTCCATATTTACAAGGCTATGTCTTTTCCACGTGTAGTTCACTAAGGACTTTTATAACATATTATGTGGACTGCCACAGCATCAGATTACTGACATCTTCATTTTGAAGGTGTGGAAAGCAAGCTTGCCAGGGTCAGTTTACCATCAAGGATCAAATGACAGTAAATGAATAATCAAGGCCTCAAACTGAGTCCTTGGTCTTACAGAGTTTGCAGAGCACTCTGAAGTTTCCTATAAACCAGACTGTTTCCTTTTAAAGGGCCAGGAGAGGTGACAGCATACTGCTAGGGAAGGAACACTGGTCCCAGAGAATTTTAAAGCCGTGGCTCTTCCATAACAAGCTGTAGAAAGTTTATTAAAGATTAAAAATTCCATTTGTCTGGGGTCAACTAAAAACAAGCCAAAGTGCTAGTACGCACAGAGTAATGGTAACCACCAGACGCTAGGTATAGGGGTGGGATGGGAGAAAATGGACAAAGTCATCTAAGGATATAAATTTACAGATAATCAAATGGAGAAGTTCTGAAGACCTAATGTATAGCATGGTGACAAGAGTTACTAGCAATGCATCATACACTTCAAATTTGCTAAGAACAGACCTCAAACATTCTCACCTCATACATATAACAGGTAACAATGGGAAGTGATGGGTATGTTAATTTATTTGATTGCAGTAATCATTTCACAGTATATATGTATTTCAAAACATATTATATACCTTAAATTTATGCTATTTTTGTCAAAAATAAATAGACCAAAGAAAAAACTTTCCCCACCCCCACCCCCCAAGTATCAACTATGAAGGGTCAATAATTCCGCAGTAAATTATCCAGGATTTACACGGCTTTGAGCCCCTTTCTTTCCTTTTCTAATCCCTCGACCTCTGAGCTTCTTTCAACTTGAGGGCACCTCTTCCAAAGTAGAAACAAAATGCAAGGAACAAAACCACAAACTTAGCTTCCTGGGACTTGTGGTGAGGAAAAGGTTTGACAGAGAAAGGGACTGAGGTTACTGGCAGAAGAAAGTAATTTTTGTGATCCCAGTTCAGTTCCTGCTTGACTCTTAGGAACACAGATGCCATTGGCCAGGCTGGAATGAACTGTCTGTCCTATCCCCAAAAGTTCACCCAAGCATGGGAATTTCATGCCCACCAGCAGAGAACTCTCACGCAACTAGGACCATGCCCTCCAGTCATCTTTGGAAAGCAAAAGAAAGAGACAGAAAGAGCACTGGTTTGAGCAATACAAAGACTCTGAGATTCAAACGGGTTTGAGTCTTAAACTTATTTAGCAGTCTTGTGACCTTGGGCAAATTTCCTAAAACCATGCAAGCCTCAGTTTCCTCACTTGTACAAATGTGAATAATCACACATATCAGATCAAATGAGCACATGAGTACATCTTCCAGCACAGTCCTGGCACAGAGAAGGAGCTCAGTACGTTCTCCCTTCCATTTCCAGCACCTGGTATAGTGTCTGACATGGCAGGTACCCAGCAAAGGAAAGGTGTTTTCACAAGTTGGTGTTTTCACAACTGGGAGTCTGAATATTAAGCTTTTTATACAAGTAGTGGCATCTGTCATACCAGCTCCCACCACAAAGCAGAATGTTTACAGAATAACCAAAACAGTAAATTCCCTGGTGTTTGGGAGTTTTACCTGAAACTGTTGTTCTTTCCGGGACTACTTAGTAACTTCCTGTTCTCTAAAGGGAACTTGTCTCCCCCCATTTCTAACATTTTCTCGGCCTCCTAAAAGAAAAAGAGATATTATTATGTCTTGGAACAAGCCCCTTTTTCTACCATGACAATTTCTACTCAGTTTTTTTCTCACATTTATTATGAGTCTAATGATGTTCTTTCATAGATTTGACTTATCACATAAAGAGAGACAAACACATATTTGTACCTGTGGAATAGTATTTTAAAAAGAACAAACTTGATTCTTAGTTAGGCCCTCCAGTTCAACTACCAAGTTATGGGAAACGTAGGGGGACGAACAACGTATTAAATGATACCAAAGGACACATTTAGTAAAATCTAAACAGTAGGAACCCCTGTAGGTCAAAGATGCAGTTTCCTCAACAATAAGAAAAAAAGATAGAAAGGGAAAGCTTAAAGGAATTTATCATCCAACTGTACTATACAGACCTCATTTGGATACTCATCAGACAGATTGTTAAAAACAATGATAAATTGAGAAAATACGAATACTAAAGTCCTTTTTACTTTTGTAGATGCTTAAAATGTTCCATAACAAAATATTTTCTTGAATATAGCCACAGTCAAACAATTCCTCAAAAAATTACTAGATCATACTACCATATGATCTAGTAATTCCACTTCAGGGTATTTACCCAAAGAATATGAAAATATTAATTCAAAAAGATATTGCACCCTATGTTCACTGCAGCACTGTTTACAATAGCCAAGAATCCAGGAGGAAACAACCCAAGTGCCTATTGTTCATTTGTCAAAGTGGTGGTATAAATATACACAATGGAATATTATTCAGCCATTAAAAAGAGATGAATGTTGCCATTTGCCACAACATGGATAGAACTTGAGGGAATTATGCTAAGCAAAATAAGTCAGAAGGAGAAAGACAGATACTATATGATTTCACTCAATTGTGGAATATAAAGGAAAAAAACTAACTGAACAAATAAAGCAAAACAAACCCTTAGCTCTGACAGAGAATGGTGGTTACCAGAGGGGAAGAGATGGAAGGAATGTCTTGGTGGCAGATGGTGACTGGACATTTGGTGGTGGGTGACATATGAAATACACAGTTGCTGAAGCAAGGAACTATATACCTGAGACCTGTACAATGTTGTAAAGTAATGTTACCTCCATAAAAAGAAAAAATACTAACTCTATTATTATTAAATAAAAACAAAGGAAATAAAGGGGGAAATTACACAGAAAGAAGTTTAAAGTAGAATTTAATAATAAAACTTAAAACAATTATAAGCCTTAAAGGGTGTTTATATTAAATATGAGATAATATTACTATAGACAAGGAAACATACAAGTCTATATTACTATAGACAAAGAAACATTTTAATGCTATGTTTTTATAAGAGAAAAACCGAAGTGGAATAACATATTGAAAATAAAATAAACGGACCTCTCTCGTGTCACAGGGGTTAAAGTATCAGCACTAACAAGCTATCGCCAGCCACTGCAGCACGAGTTCAAACCCCGGCCAGGGAGCTGACCCATGTGGCACAGCAGACCTCTCCTGTCTTGCCCGCTGCTCCCCTCAGCAGTGTATTTCAGTAGACCTGCCTGCTCTGCTCCCCTCTCTGTCTCTGTCTCTGGCCTACACCCCAGCTCTTGTATGCACAAATAAATAAATCTTTAAAAACAAAGGAAATCCTGCCAGTTTCAACAACAAAGATGGGCTTGGATGGCATTATGCTAAGTGAAAGAAGTCAGATAAAGAAAGACAAATCCTATATTCACACTTACATGTGGAATCGGAAAAAAAAAAAAAAACAAAAAACGACAAAACAAAAAGTCAAGCTCATAGGAACAGAGAACAGATTGGCAGTTGGGGAGGGGGGCGGGGCTGAGGGTTGGAGCAACTGGATGAAGGTAGTCAAAGGATACATACTTGCAGCTCTAAGATAAAAAAGTTCTAGTTCATTCATTTCTAGGTATGGTATCTTCATTTTGCTACACATCCATTTTTTGTACCTACAGGCCACTGACTGCGGCTCTACTGTGTGGACAGAAGGAAATAAGGCGGAGAAAGTCCTATACAAGTTGCTTTTGCATGGTGCCCAGCACAGCACCATCTACAATTAAGTTTATAACAAATATTCTCAAAAAATAATACCTCTTACATGCTTAACAAATCAGATCTTTTGGAAGAACATGAGCCGTTAGATTTTTTGATAGTAAGGCAAGATTCTATGTTCATATTCTAAGTATGAACTTTGTAACTAGGCTGCAAACAGATAAAGAAAAAAAATCAACTGGTTATCAAATCTGAGCATGAAGGACAGATAAAGAGAAGAAATCCTTAATCCATTCTCAGCTGAGAATCTCTTTGGAGTGACCTTCCCAGCTTCTGCATGTTACTCTTGGGATGCCAGACACGCTGACTTTCCATGTGGATTTTCCTATGTTTTGTGATTTGAGGCTGCCCCCGAGTATAAGACTGGTATAAGAATTATGACCTCTTCCTCCTTGGCCTTCTTTTTTGCATCATCCAACTTCTTCTTTTTGCTTTCAGGCATGAGATCATCCAACCAGCTCAGTTCTCGCTTAGAGAAACAGAGATCCATGACTTTCCTGACAAAGACCAAGGCCAAAACCTGAAGAAAAATAAGAAGAAAAATGAATTAAAGAAGCTAAGTTCTTTTTTTGGAATTAAAAGTAAAGTCTTATTTTCATAGCAGACTAGGACAGTTCAATTCATAGTAGCTGCCTTTTGATAAATGCCCTATTTATACTAGATACTGAGGTGTTTTATATACATTATTTTATTTACCTATCATCATAACAATCCTACAAGTAAGAGGCTTTCTTTCTATAAGGGCCATTTTAGCCAGAGAAACCAAGAGCCCAGGATGACCTGCCTGAATTGAGTGGTGTTCACCAGCAATATCTGGTTGCTGCACAAGGAATGAGGCCAATCAGGCTTATTACATTTCCCCCTAATTTCAATGACTATTTTTCCCAATAAATCCAAAACTGACAGTATCCCTTAGAAGAGTTGTCAGGAATCTACTAGTTCTTTAGCCAAACACTCAACCCATGAGTGTAACGCCCAAAAGCAGGACTCAAAATATATTCTGAAAAAATTGAGAAACCCATCAAGAAGATGTACATCTAGAAGATTAGGAAAAGAGAACCCCCAACTCCAGGTTCCTCATCCTTGAATATTCCCCCAGTAAGTCAGTAGTACCTAACACTACCCTCATTGCCTTCTCTCTCTTGAGACCCACCATTTGGATTGCTTTCAAACAGCCACTGAATTCTCGCATCCTCAGGACACAGAATGAGCCAGAAAGAAGCTAACAGTGAGGCAGTCAGGTGGCAGCAATTCCATCATCACCCTAATTTTAGGAAACTGCTTGTCACATGTCACACACCACACACAGTTCAGCTTCCCTAGTCTCCTTCTGAAGCTGCCTCAGTTAGAAAGGTGGTAAGGATGCCCTGGTCATTTACTACTCTGAAAGGCAGGTAATACCATTTCCACCAGAGGTGCTAGACCAACATCCTTCCCTCTTCCTAGTGGCTTAACTCAGTGCATTTCACCACTTTAGATACTTCTGATTGCAATAAATTCCAAAGTGAAACTATACTGCTTTGAAGTAATATGCAAATTATTGGAAAAACATGAATTTTCTCCACATCACATTCAAGAAGGAAGGGAGGGAAGGAGAGAAAGAGGGAGAGAGAGGGAAGGAGGGGAATGTGTAAACAAAACGTGAACTCCCCATACAATGGAAGTTATTCAGCCATAAAAAAAGGAAATTCTGGGCCTCCCCGGTGGCGCAGCGGTTGAGCGCTGGGTTGCGAAGCTGCCCGCGGCCTCTGCGGCGCCGGTTCGATCCCCGGCTGCTTCCCAGCCACCGGAGGAGGGTCCCGCATGGCGCGCAGACCTCTCCTGCCGCCCGCTGCTCCCCTCAGCAGTGTACTTCGGTCCTTCTGCCTGCTCTGCTCCCCGCTCTGGCTCTGGTGAATTCTCTCACCCTCCCGCGCTTCTGACTGTACCCAGTGCATGTATAAACAAAACAAACAAAGAAAGAAAGAAAGAAAGAAAACATGCCTCTATTAAAAAAATAAATAAATTAATAAATTAATTAAAAAAAAAAAAAAGGAAATTCTGACCTACACTGTAACGTGGGCAAACTTGAAAGATGTTGGGCTAATAAGCCAGTCACAAAAGAACAAATACCACATGATTCCACTAACATGAGGAACTTAGAAGAGTTAAATTCACAGAGGACAGCAAAGAATGGTGGTTTCTGGGGGCAACAGGAAGGAGGGGATGGCAAGTTTTTGTTCCGTGGGTACAGAGTTTCAGTTGTGCAAGATGAAAAATGTTCTAGAGATGGATGGTGATTATGGCTGCACAACAATGTGAATCTACCTGATGTCACTGAATTGTACGCTTAAAATGATTAAAATGGTAAATGTTATGTTATATATATTTTATCACAATTTTCAAGAATAAATAATAATGATTTTTTGACAACTCACCATCATTGGAAAGACAATGGCAGCTGGAGATGCCTTGATGACCCAGAGCAGGACAAGGCAGGTTAGCTGGATGAGGGTGAAGAGATGCACTTTGCGCAGCGGCACGTGCCGAAGGTAGATAAAGTCTGGCTGGTGTTTTGCAGGCATCCCAAAGAGCTTCAGCCGATCAAAGAACTAAAAGGAGGGAACAGGCATTTATTTTCAGGAGGTTCCTCTGCGTCAGAGCCTTGCTAAGTCCATTTACGTTTCTTGTGTCACCTACTCCAAGAGGCAGGGAGTATCACTTCCACTGGACAGGAGCGGGTGGGTCTGAGAGAACAGGTAATTTGGCCAAGGCGGGTAAGTGACAGAGTCACACTCTGAATCCATCTTTTCTAGTTATAGATTCAAATTTCTTCCTCCTTTCCTACACTGGCTCCAGAGAGAGATCTTTCTCAGGGAGAGTTGGAAACAAAATAAGCCAACTGCATCTTTCTGCTTATTATCAAAACCAAATCTCTTGTACTTTGTGGAGTTTGGAACTTTTCATTGATTGTAGTAAAAAGATAAAATGAAAACTCATACTCTGGATATAGAAAATATGGTCATCATTATATTATAAAGAGAAAAACAGACCCAAAGTGATTAAATGACCCCTCCAAGGTCACATTAGAACTGAGTGTACAAGAAATGACCACTAGACATTGCACAAAAATAGAGACTAGCACTAATAGAAGTTATAGAATCTGAGACACCTGAGCTGTTGGTGACAAGCTCCTGATTTCCTCTGTACAAAGGACTCGGAGGAAATGAGCCGGAGGATGGGAAAAGGCAGAATATGACAGAAGTAGCACCTGCTCACCTGAAACAGTCCCTACAACTCAACCTCTTCAACCAATGTATCCTAAGTTTGACACTTTCTCACTTGAGCCGGGCACTAAAAATAGCACTTGCCCTGTGTGGAAGTAAGTTTGGTTCTTGATCAACATTTCAGATCTAAGTTTAGTAACACCTGCTGAGCACCTAGTGCTTAATACCTGCCTAACAAGTGCTGAATAACTAATGAATGACTGGAACTGGACATCAAGCCAGATCACCCTAGAAGTCTCTGAACCTTTAAGCCAACATGACTGTATTCTGACAGTTGTCTAAAGAAATGTCTAAAATAACTGGTAAGACTAGAACACAGTTTCTCCAGAACTGGTTTGCACTTCCTTAAGGATCTGTGTTGCCCTGGTTGGGATAAGTGAGCTCGCAGAGAAAAGACTTGCCCTGACTGAACCATACAATACCTGAATTCCCTGCAGTGAAGAGACTCCCATGTAGAGGAAAACTCCATAGAGCACTGGCATTGGGATAAACTGGAGAGAAAAGGGCAGAAAGACCAGAAATTAAATTTGATATCATAATATGCACAGTCAAACCTTTAAATTCTCAAAAGTCACTGCATACATGTTGCATTAGTTTCTGCTGCCTTTACATGGTTGAGAAGTAGAAGCAAAAGCAAAAGCTGACAACGATAAAAATTATTTTGTTCTGAAATTAAAACATTACACATAAGTGTAATACAGTCCTGGTTAAATTATAGGCCCCTCATTTTACCTGTCTGCTGACTCTTCCTCCCACATAGGCATGGGCAGACACACAACACACACATACACACCCCTTACTTTTATAGAATTAATAACTTTTAAATATTTTGTAATCACACAATCACCTTCTCAGGGCTTTGGTATATTTTTTAACACGGAGTAAGTTTTCTTTTTTACTAACCAGAGACTTGAGGGGAGGAGTGAGGAGGTATCTTAGCAGAGAGGGAATAACTATGTGTTTTTGACTCCCAAACTTGTATTTTTAGTCCAGGACCCTCTTCTAGGCTCTTTATTTGCCTTCCAGATACCTACCCCAAAATCTGACCACATCCTCAACCCTTACAAAACCACTTTCTCCTCAGTCTTCTCCCTCTTAATAAATACCATTAACCTCTACCCAGAAGGTCAAGTAGCAGTATGTTGACTTTTTTCCTCACCCCATTCTATCACACAGTCAGCCACCAAGATCTTTGGATCTGTCACCAAATACATACAAGTCATGCCTCTTACCCGTCCTTACTACCAATGTCCTTTTCTAAGACACCATCATCACTCACCTGAAAGTGCCTCACTGGTCTCTGTTTCTATTTTTCCCCAACCCTTAAAATTTATCTCTAGGTATCAGTCACAGTGATCTTTTAAAAACACTATGTGGATTATGTCACCCTCCCATTAAAGCCCTTCAGAGGTTACCTTAAGCACTGACTGCACTGGCCCCGCACACTCTTTATCCTCACTTCCTTGTGTTCTTGCTGTGACTCAACATCCTTGGTCCCAATAGTCCCCAGAGTACACATCACTCTTTCCCACCCCAGCGTTTGACTGGACTGCTTTTCCCCCATCTGCTTACACCACTGCCTACCATTCATGACAAGGCCAACTTCATCCCACTTTACATACCATTTCCTCAGAGACCTTCTATGACCACACTAACTAAACAGCATTCCCTTAATTTTCTATAGCACTTTGAGCATATAGTTGAGATAATAATACCTTGAGATGCAGTTTTTATCACTTCTCATATTCTGTAACTATCATGATAATTTCTTAACTTTCATAACTATATATTATCTGTCTTACCCTGCTAGAATAAGCTCTTTTAGGGAAAATATTTACATGTATATCTGCTTGGCATACCACTATAATCCCAGCACCTACAGTATAGGGTTCCTGGCACAAATCAGACATTCATATTTTCCCAGTGAGTAAATGAATGGTTACCTTTAGTATAGTGGTCATGAAGACTGAGCAGCCCATCAGCACAAAGATCATAAGACCTGTTACTCTCTGCTCTCGAATACCCAAGAACTTGGGCTGTTCTCCAGGAGCAGAGCACTCAGATTCCAGCTTGAGGCTGTTCACATGTGTGATGGACAGGACAGTTGCAGCCACAAACCAGGGCAGGCCCATGATGGAGCAGACACCCAGCATGATGGCTACCATCAACAGGTCCAGGTGGTAGCCACAACCTTTCTGTGGGGAAACAGAGTCTCCGTCACCATCAGAGGGCTGGCTGTAGCGGGGCATAGAACAATGAGCTGAGTCTTAGGCCCAAAGTCAGAGGGAAAGTATGGATAAAGAGGAAGAGCTCCATGGATCTCAGAAGAGTCTTCCAATCCCTGGTTTGGAGAGGACCAGAAAGAAAAATGAACCTTAACCTGCTCTAATAGCCCAATATTCAAGTGACCCCAGATCTCACCCTGAGTTTTCCAAAGATTCATCCTGCCTGACAGAGTAACCAGAAACCAAACCACATCTTAACCAACTCAAGATGGAAGACACCACAGGAGCTGGAGATGCGTGTCTTTATTAAATTCCTATAAACCACCCCAGATTGTTACTAAATGTGGATGATGAAACTTTATGTAAGGAAAGAATGGAAATGAAAGCACAAAACCTCTCACAAATAAATGTCCTGGAATGAACTCTGATGAACTCTGCCTCCCTCAGATCCTTGGACTCAAGGCTGAAGCTGGAAACCCCTGTAATGGACACGAACAGGAGAACACCTCTCTCTGGAAAACAGTGCCCAAGCCCTGACCTGAATTTCAGGAAAATAAACCAAACCTAGAGAATGAGACTGTGCAGGGGCCGCCAGCTCTGCCCATACGTCCACAGGTGTGAGAGGAGAGTACTGGAATTCAAGCTGCTTTTGCATCACACCATCAAGCGCCCCTCTAATTTCACATTCAAATCAATCTCTGTCATTAATGGGGGGGAGAGGGGACTGAAGCCCCTGGAAGTCCATTACAAACTCACTTCATGACTGCTTTTATCCCGGTTCTACAGTTCCTGGTCTAAATGGGTTTACCCTAAGTCAAAAAATCTAAGAGGCTGCCATTAGTACTTCTAGGTCAGAACTTCTTGTTACCTTGAGCTTGTGTTCCTTCCTATTAATGATGACAGCTGTGATCTGCTGGTCCATGAATATTAAGATAGTACAAAGAAGAGCTGGGATGATTGCTGCTATCACAGTCCACCAGGGGTTGGGGCCAATGGGACTAATAATCCACCCTCGATCATCCCGTGTTGGCTGAGGAAAAAAAAATGTTTTATTTTTGTATTTTTAATTAATTACAGTCAGTACAAAACATCAAACTGAATCACAGTATCCACATTTCTTTTTATTCTTGAATGATTAACCTTAAAAACAAAAAAGCACGAAATACAGCAACTCCTTAGAAAGCCTGTGACCTTGTTCCAAGTCTCCTTTGAAAGATCCACTCTTCAATTACCAAATTCCTATGGAATATTCATTAAATTTTCATTTCTTTTCCATGCTTGCCACACCCGTGTACAGAAAAAGCAACTTTATTCAACATTAGTCCAAGTAAAATATAATTAACAACAAAATCTGTTGTTAAAAATTTTTTGTCAAGAATTTAATGACTTCCGTAGGGGCCTCCCCGGTGGCGCAGCGGTTGAGCGCTGGGTTACGAAGCTGCCCGCGGCCTCTGCAGCGCCAGTTCGATCCCCGGCTGCTCCCCGGCCACCGGCCACCGGAGGAGGGTCCCACATGGCGCGCAGACCTCTCCTGCCGCCCGCTGCTCCCCTCAGCAGCGTACTTCGGTCCTTCTGCCTGCTCTGCTCCCCGCTCTGGCTCTGGTGAATTCTCTCACCCTCCCGCGCTTCTGACTGTACCCAATGCTTGTATAAATAAATAAATGAATAAATAAATAAATAAATAAATCTTTAAAAAAAAAAAAAAAAAAGAATTTAATGACTTCCAAAGACAAATGCAAATAAGTGATTATCTACCTAACTGCTCCCTTTAGAAACCAATATATGTCCAGAGCACAAATAAAGGCAAAATAGGGCCTCCCTGGTGGCACAAGGAGTTAAGCACCACACTATGAAGCAATCCACAGCCTCTGCAGCATGAGTTCAATCCCCACCTGGCCAGGGAGAAATCCACGTGGCACAGCAGACCTCTCCTGTCTCTCCCGCTGCTCCCCTCAGCAGTGGATTTCAGTCAGTCTGTCTGTTCTCTTCCCCACTCTGTCTGGTGGATCCTCTCACCCCCTGCATCTCTGGCCTGTGCCCCAGCTCTTGTATGCATAAACAGGTAAATCTTTAAGAAAAATAAAAAAATAAAGGCAAAATAGAGCCAGTTGCATGGAATCTCATGGACTTAGGTTGGATTAGTCCCGGGGCCTTCTCCCTTCAGCAGTTAAACAGGGGCCTAGGCTCCAGAGACTTGAAAGAGAACCTCAAGACTGCTGAATTTGACCTCGAACCCTCTCCAGTGTTCCATAAGACTGCTATTCAAAATCTTTTTATTTATTGCATAGAAGAACTGCGGTATAGGCCAGAGGTGTGGGAGGGCAGGGCGGGGAGACTCGAGAGTATTCACCAGAGACAGAGTAGGAGCAGAACAGGTGGATCTACTGAAATACACTGCTGAGGGGAGCTGCAGGCGAGGCAGGAGAGGTCTGCTGACCCATATATGGGTTAGCTCCCTGACTGGGATCGAACTCAGGCTGTAGCATTGTTAGCACTGAAACTTAACCCCTAGGCTACCAGGGAAGCCCCGCTATTCAAAAATCTTACTGGGATGTTGATGACATAGGTAAACTTTCCCAGATTCTCCAGCCCCTACTCCCCCCACCTCTCCATCCCAGGATACTCTGGGGAAGAGGAGTTCACTGTGTTTGGCAAGTAGCGCTAGAGGGTAAAAGGCCAGGAATACAAACCGCCCAAAATTGACCCAAATTCAAAGAACAAAGCAAAGTTCATTACATTCAAAGTTTGGTTCCATACTGGTCATGACTCTAGGATTCAAATGCTTCGATAACATCACCAAGTATCAAAATATGAAAAAATTAGTTTCTGAAAGTTGATAAAATCTGTTTCCTTAGTAATAGTGCTCTAAGTGGTAGTTAAATCCTCAGGCTAAAACAAAAACTTATTAAACTTCAGCGAACCTTAACCCAGTAGTAATAGCAGTAGTCTTCAGCTTGGTCTTGGTCACTGGGTTCCGTGTAGTATAACAGCGAAGGGAAGAAAGAAGAAATTTGTTTCTCTGCTCCCTGAGATTGAAGCCTGCCAATAACCAACATTTTCTCTGACATTCTCTCATTTTCCTGTCTCATCTTTCTCTCACTTCTCAGGGGCCCTTTTCTCAGATTTCCCAGAAATTTGGTGCCTTCTTAAGCCTACCCATTAGGAAGCCTTCCCAAGGGCTGCTTAATATTCCCAATTACTTATTTTTACACTTAATCCAGTGCTCCTCTAGGGCTGGCCTCAGGACTAGAGAGAAAAGTTGACTGTGCTGTGCTCACTTACACAAAGGTGAGAATGACATATTCTCAGAGGTATATTTTTAAAGAGGGTGTTTTTTAATCCATGAATTTCTAACTGGTGGCATTTCAGAAAATTTAACAAAATAAAATAAAATTTCAGGCAATGTGAAAAATGGTATTTTTAACTATGCCTACTTCAGGGAGAGAAAGAGAATGAGAAGATCAACCATACATGGCACCTTCATTCCTGCCTTCCTTTTCCTCCCCAGTCTCTCCCGCCATCTTGTGATTCCTCTCCAGTCACTGAGTATGCCCAGGTTTTCTCTCTGTGGGATCTGTGGAATTGAGCATCTTCTCTGTCTACTCAGTGTCCCCAAACTGAAATAGACTTTGAGTACCCACATATTGGTCACTTATTTTATTTTTTGTATTTTTTTTTAAATATTATAGATTATAGAGAGTTATACAAACACACACAAAATAAGGTTGAAGAGAAGCCATGATTAATCTGGCAGAACCCTGGACTCTGCATGAGGTCCCTTGGCTGGCTTCTTTCTTTCCTGAGTGGAAAGGCTAAGTCCTGCATAGAGCTTTTCCATCCCTCCTTGTGCCCTTCAACAGTTAACACGCAGCGGAAGTGCTGTTCTCCAGACTTTGCTCAGGGACCCATGTCTCCACATTTTCTGGTATATGTTTACGGAAATGTGCACATCCCATCGTTATACATCTTAACATTAAAAATAAGTGGAATGAAAAATAAATAATACTTTACATTCATTAAACAGCCTTAACTTTTCTATTCTTTTGCTTTTCTGACTTGAACTCAGGCCTCAAGAGCTTGCTTTTTTTTTGAATGATAAGGCACAAGAAGCAAGATTCAGATATAAATGACTGCATGAGTAGAATATGCAAAGGTCTTTCAAATTAAGTCAGAACTAGATTCAGTGGAACTATATGAGGGCACCAAGCACCCTGAGATTTGTTTACCTTGAACACACTGGGAACTTGAAGCTTTGGTGATGGGACGCCAATAAAAAAATCAATAATCACCATTGTGAAGATAGTGAGGAAAACAGCAAAGTCACTCACCATGGAGCGTACCTGGCATAAGAACGGATTAGAAAAAACGTGTTAGCAGATTACATACAATAAAAAAGAATTCAGTGTTGTAAGAGGCTTTAAAATCCTCAGAAGTGTTTTAATTTGATAGTGGAATTACTATAAGCATATTTAAACAATAAGATATTTATATGTGAAACTAAAAAGTGTGGATATGAGGGAAAAATGAATCTGATGACATACTCTAATCTAAACCACCCCAATCTTGGAAGAATGTTGATTAGAGCATTTAGCCCCAGGTTTAGGTAATAGCTCTGAGAACTTGGGATAAGATTTTCTCAGATCAGTCAAGGTCTATTTCTACCAGCCCAGAATCTCAGCAGCAGCACCAACCCCTCTTCTCCTACAAATTCAACATCTAAGACCTCTGAAAGCCCCACTTACTCCACCTTGAGAACATATGAGAATTCAAGCCCTCCCCTCCACCTTCACTGCTCCTACACAGGTTAAACCACCATCCAGCCCTGTTTGGGTAAGTGCAGCAGCCTTTTAACCTTGCTTCTGCCCTTCTGTAAAGTCACTGGTGAGATCATTCAAAACACAGGTTGGATCATGCCATTCTTCTACCAACATCCTGAAAGAGTTTCTCACGTCACTGAGTTAAAAACCCGAAAGCCTTCTTGGTCTATGAATCCTCACGTACTGGCACCAGTGTCTCAGACCCCAGCTCCTTAATGATCTCCCACTTGATCACGCTGCACACACACTTCCTCATTGTTTCTTTTTTTTTTTTAAGATTTATTTATTTATTATTTATTTATTTATTTATGCAAGCACTGGGTACAATCAGAAGCGCGGGAGGGTGAGAGAATTCACCAGAGCCAGAGCGGGGAGCAGAGCAGGCAGAAGGACCGAAGTACACTGCTGAGGGGAGCAGCGGGTGGCAGGAGAGGTCTGCGCGCCATGCGGGACCCTCCTCCGGTGGCCGGGGAGCAGCCGGGGATCGAACCGGCGCCGCAGAGGCCGCGGGCAGCTTCGCAACCCAGCGCTCAACAGCTGTGCCACCGGGGAGGCCCCTCATTGTTTCTTAAACATGCCAGATTCACTCCCATCTCAGAATCTGTACTTCTCATTCCTCTACGCAAATGTTTTTCGTGCAGGTAACTTCTTGGGTAGCTCCTTTACCTCCTTTATGTTCACTCAAATACCACTTTAATGAAATCTGTGATGATCCTACTTAAAACTGGTCACCACCCTCCACCCCAGAATTTACTGCATTCCCTTTTCCTGCTTTACTTCTCCCCATTGCACTTATCACCATTTTGTCCCTAAGAAGATTTCCCAGTTTGGGGTTTATTGTAGCTACACAAAATACAGTACCTCCAAAAGGTCCAGTGCCTGCCTTAATCTCAACTTCTAAGAGAGAGAAAAATATGTCTTAGCTACATGCAATATCCCTAATACCTTAACTTTGCTTTCCTTTGAAAGCTGAAGTTTCCAGCTCCCCTCCCCCGGTTCTGTAGGTACCCTGTCAATGTTACATAGATTCTCTGATCGTGTAGCTGGCCCCACCAATGAGGCCCACCATGGTCATTGTGAAGCCCAGAGATCCTCTCTCCACCCAGTTCCTACAGCACTTACATCCCAGATTGACACCAACTAATTACAATTGTCTTCTAACAAGCTGGCTATTTTGTGGCTTTCTCCTTCCTATTGAATTGGAGAGAACATGTTTTAAACTTCTTTTGCATTCCTCATATAGCATATAACCCAGTCCTGAGCAAGTAGTCAGCACACAACTACCACTCATTAGTGGTTTGTCCAAACCAGAAACAATGACCCAGAACTTACTTAATATGTGCCTCCTTTAACTATTCTGCAGGTTCCCTAAGGTCTAAGAATGTGCTTTAGTTATGTATGTGTGTATGCTGAAGATTTAATCAACTGAGTCCCCTACCCATCTACACATCTTGCTCTGCAAATGTGTCTCACTTACAGAAAATCACCATTTTCTCCTGATTTGGCTCCTTTTCAAAGAATTGAACCCCCTAGTCATCCCATACCTGGGGTCTAATTCTGCCCCTCCCCCCCAAAACTGGTCACAATACAAACAACGCCATCTCTGTCAGGGAAAGGTTGCTGAGGCTTCAATCATGCAAACCAGGTCAAGACCATTTTGGCTGCTGCAGTCAATGAAACCAGTCACATTACTGTCACAGAATGATCCCTGGGAGCAGGTGTTAGGGTCCCTTCAGTATCCAAAGCAATCATCCCAATGACTATATTCAGGATCTAGCTCCAGCTATTGCAGGCTACATGTACCAGCATTCTGGAGATGAAAATAAACAGATTCTGGATATGAAACTTAGTAGTTTTTAGAGAATACTACCACCACCTGAAACTCCCCTGGCACTCTTAACGTTTTAAATATTAGCTCCTCATTCCACACCACATAGCTATGAAAGAGGCAGCCTGACACTAGAAAAAGAAAATGTCATAGGGTGGCTCGTCAGGACATTTGGACATTTGGAGCTCTCCACCTGCCAATCTTCTCAGTAAGCAGCATAGAAGTTAAGTACAGGCTCTGTGCTGTTAGAATTTCAACACAAAAAAAACACACAAGCAAGCTACCTACTCTGGTTGGGAAATAGCGGCTTGTCTTAAATGTCTTTAAGGTACTTGAGAGAATGAAGGTGGTGAAGAAGAGAATACAGGACCAAAAGAGTACATCAGGAGTATAAGGTCCATGATGACCACACGCAGATCCCATGAATTCTCCATGCATCTCTTGGCATTCCTAGGGGGAAAAGCATTCTGGGTAATAAAAGGTTGGCATGAGGGAATAAATAGCTGTTTCCTTCCAATTTTACCACTCAGTGCCATCCCACAGCTGCTGGGAAGCACTAGCTTCCTGGCTCTCAGGAGCATCCGATTGCCTCCATGAAGTTATGGGGCTCTCCCTTGCACAAGCCCCTTCCAGACAGGCAGACCACTTAATGTCTTAACCTTAGAAGATGAAACCAGAACTAGCCAGAGCAAACAGAAGGTTCTGGAAGAGTGTGGTTTTTTAATACAGAGGATTTCCAGACATTAATGTTCTTCCTGTCCTACAGAACCTGGATCTGCCCCCCTGCCCTGCCTGGTTTCATCCCCAAATATCCATACCCAGGGTCACTGGGGAGGGTGCACATGGAAGAGAATAAAGAATTAATTTTCTTTTCCCTTTATGAACAAGAGAACTTTCGAAGGGGAAATGAAAGAATACGGATAATAAAAAGCTCTTTTTCATAAATGCCAGAGCTTGCCACAGAGCTTCCCTGCTTCTCCTCGAAGCCCTCTTGAGCCTGGTGGTCACAATGCTAGCGCATGTGGTAGCTCCCAGACTTACACTAACAGTCAGGTTAGCCCAGTGGACTTCTGTGGTCACAATACTGTGGTCCTTCCAGTACTGCAGGGTGTGATTGTTTGGATGCTCTGGAAGAGTACACCTGCAGCTGAAAGGAAAAGAAAAAAAAATGCTCCTGAGGAAAGCAGTCAAGTAGTCAAGTAAGTATCGAATGACTTTTTTAGCCATGTCTGGGCCACAGGTTCCGTCAGAGCCTGCCTTTTTTTCCCTTTGCTCACTTCAGATCCTGGGACTGGTCCAAATGATTAAGAGCAATCTATAGGACCAGCACAGCCTGATTTTTCTGTCAGTCATTACTAAGGACAGATTCAAATTAGCATACAGGTCACAGATAAAGTGTGCTGACAACCAAGCTTGGCATCTGTTATGCCCATAACTAGCCCTGGGAATATCCTTGTTCAGTTTCTCTTAGACTCTACCTATGTCAATAGCAAGAAGGATCTGATACCCCATTTAACTCTCAACAGCTTTCTCTATGCCTCGATATCTTGACCCCTAGATCCCTGTCATATTATAACTCTAAAAATTAGAGTCTTCTAGAATTGTAATGCAAGCGCTTCCTGATATTGCATCATCCCTGGTAATACCCTAATACCCTGGTTTTCCCAGCCCTCCTTCTCCATCTAAGCCAGCCAGATCAGACCTGTTATACTGGCCACAATAAGACCTCCCAGTCCAACATGCTGCATGCCTGATCTGACTCAGTATACTCACCTAATGTGGCCATTCCTACCAACTTTGCTTCACCCGTGAATTTAATGTGTATGCCTTCTAAGAATATAGCATGACAAAAGTTCTAAAACATCTCAACAGATTACAATAGTTGGAGGAAATTAAGAAAATGAAAAGTATAGAAAAAGCTACAAAATCCCACATTTAGATATAAAAAAAATAAATCCCAAACTTGGAAGCAACAAAGATGTCCTTTCATAGGTGAATTGACGTACTGTAGTATATCCAGACAATGAAATATTATTTAGCATTAAAAAGAAATGAGTTACCATGCCATGAAAAGACACAGAAGACCCTTAAGTGCATATTTTTAAGTGAAGCACATCCGACAAGTTACCTACTATATGATTACAAATATATGACATTTTGGGAAGGCAACACCTCACACAATCAGACCCTCCACAGCAGAACTGTATGGCTAGGAGGGAAGGAACTTGATATGCAGAGCAAAAGGATGAAGGCCTTTAGTCATAATTAGGAGAGGACCATCCCAGAGAAAAAAGACTGCTAGATGGCTGAAAATGCCATTTCTTTTCCAGTCAATTCAAATACATTGAGCACATGAAGAAAACAATCTTTTGAGTTACAATACATACAAGTAAATAGAGCTCTAGATTTTTTGGATACAGAGTAAAAAATCCATGGATCTAGAATTATTAATCTATCTCTATGTAATGATTCCTAAGAGTAACCTGTATACACTTTTAGAGAAAAAGTACTCTCTTTCTTGATAACATGATCCAGGGGCCCACAAATTCTTGCAAAAAGTAGTTCTTCCCCCAAAACTAACTTGATTTCTCTCTGACACATTTGCAGCCTATTTTAGTCTCAATCCAACGACCAAAAGATAAGCTGTGGAAAGCATTTCTCAAGTTACCTCTGGGTTTCACCCACAGTCCATCTTCTCTATCATCAATTTTCACTGTTCTGCTCTGGGTAAATCCCCAATTCTCCAATCCGTATCTGAGCTTTGTTTCCCAGAGGACCAAGAAACCTCCTTAACAGGAGGAGTGCGCCTGGGACCCTACCTCAACCATTAAACTCAGACCCTTGGTTCAATTTTTTAAAAAAGCAGGCAGCATACTTACTAATACAGGCTAAGGTGGTCCAGCTGACTGTGCATGTGGATAGGGTAGGTATCTGCCAGGTGAATCAGCTTTTCTATTGCTTCATAGATGAAAATAATGCAAATCAGTGAGGCAAACGCTTCTTCAGTGAAGCGGGTAATGTAGCAGACAAGGGAACTGGCATCAGTTGCCACAAGGACAATACAGAGGAAGGCAGTCCACAGTCCGATACAAGCTCGCAGCGAGAGGTATGAAAGGGCGTAGTCTCTGAAACAAGACAAAAGGTCATCAGAAAGCAAGAATGGATGGCAGTAAGAGACACAGGGTCAGCAATGTGATTATTTCCTAATATCCACAACACTTTATCTCTGTTCTGACTGCCCTTCACTCTTAAATGTTGCCTTGGAAAGGGTGTGAGAAAACTGCTTCGCTGGTGGTTTCTGCCATAGGACACAGACAGCGGAGAAAGAAGGAATTGTCCCACACACTCCTGCCATTACTGTCCATTAATTAAGATCTTATTCTTGTAGATAAGAAAAGGGAGCTAGGCCTTATCTCACATGCTCCTATTTTTCAGATAAAATGAATGAAAGATTCTATAAGAAAAGTAGGCAAACTGCTTAGCCCGCTCCACTGCTAGCAGCCAGCATATGAAGGGGGTACATAAGAAAACTAAAAGCTGATTTGAAAGATACTGACTTTCCATAGAAGGGGAGGAGTTTGAGTTAGATAGGGAATTTTTTTTAAGATAAAAAGTCAAGACTTAGATGCAGACTTATTGTGATCATTTCACAATATATACAAATATCAGATCATTACAAACATTCTTACACCTGAAACCAGTAAAACGTTATATGTCAATTAAGCCTCAATAAACAAACAAGTGCCCAAAATGGGGGAGGATACATCAAGAATAGCTGAGGGACATTAAGAAAGCTCTGAAAGACTCTGAGAGCTTGGAGATTTTAGATGTGGTAAGTACTCCCTGGGACAGGGCAACAGGCTGAATGTTCTTCCTCCAGGTTCCCCACCAGGCATCTCACAGTCCTGCATATGCTGCTCTAGAAGCCTGGCAGTCAGCCCCAGCAGCCCATAACCAACCTCCAGTCAGTTTTCATAAAGCCAAATGTCTTACTTGCAGAATTTGAACAAAATCTTTTCAAACACGAGCACCGGCCCAGTACTTCCCAGGATGGTAAGCGCTTGTCCCGCAAATAAGGAATAAGCAATCCCGGTCATGGAGGCACCAAACAAAGATTCGATCGCACTCTGAGGAGGGAAAAAACCACCACTAAGTCTATGACCCAGCTCTAGTAGGTCACATGGACTGTGTCTGCCCTGACTTAGCTCTTGTGTGTGCACTGACATGTCACTGAGGTAACAAGATGCATACACACTAATACTCCTGTGAACAGATACCACTTTGATAATTCCAGTGCCCAAATACATCCACGTGATTCCTCAACTAAGTCCTATTCTTCATGACTCCGTTCAGTATTCAAAAATTTATGGAAACCACAATGATACCATTCAAACTAGAAGCTGCCATACAGAGTTACCTTAAATCTTATTTTCAAATGACATCAACATACATTTTTCCATCCTTGGGGCAATGAACAATCCAACTGGCCATAATCTACTGGAATTGATACTCTTGCAGAAGACAGTCTGTTTTAAAGGGAAAACTATGTTGCTGCTTGATATGAAGTCAAAATATCATTGTAATTCAGTACAAAACATCCATTCTCCTCAGTCCCAGCATACAGAATTCTCCCCCCACCCCCTCCACCCCCCGCCAGACCAAGCTGCCAATACTTGAAGTCTTGTTTGGGAACAATGAAATGGTTAGAGTTCTTACTATTCGTCCCTCAGTGGCTTCTCCGAGCAATCCCCCAAAGGTGATGACAGGTGACATGCAGGCACAGTACAGGAACAGAAAGGAGGCCAAACACTGCAAGCTGAGTGCATCCCGGTAGTCGCTCCAGTACCAAGGGGCCTTCCGCTTGATGTCCAGCACCAAGCCCCCAAACAGCCTGTGAAAACATGGCAGGCAGGCCTCTAATACAGTCCCCCTTCCCCAAAAGCATACAAACAGCCCACATTCAAAAATACTTCAAATGTGCTCTGTTTTGAGGTAATACAAGTTGGGCTTTAACTTGATCCAAGTGTAGGAGAAACCTCTTTGGAGTCAGCACAGATTCTTTGCAACCAGAGACATGAATTTGAATGACTGTGTTAAGTATAAAATTAATAAATTGGTATACAGGGCCTCCCCGTTGGTGCAGTGGGTTGAGCGCCGCACTGTGAAGCTATCTGCAGCCTCTACAGCTGGGTTCGATTCCCGGCCGGCCAGGGAGAAACCCACAGGCGTGGCAGACCTCTCCTGTCTCATCCACTGCTCCCCTCAGCAGTATCTTAGGTCCATCTGCTGTTCTGCTCCCCACTCTGTCTCTGGTGAATTCTGTCACCCTCCCGCACCTCTGACCTGTACCCTAGTTCTTGTATAAATAAATAAATCTTAAAAAATGAAAATTAAATTGGTATGCATATTACCAACCATAAAAAAACCCATGAAATTAAGTGTTAGCTTCAGACTCTAAGCTGTTAGGAGGAAATGTGCAAAACCAATTCAAGGTATTAAAAGTGTTAGTTTTACTATGTTTTCTAGATAAAACACCCCTATTGGGGCCTCCCTGGTGGCGCAAGGGGTTAAGCGTCAGCACTATGAAGCAGTCTGCAGCTACTGCAGCAAAAGTTCGAACCCTGGCCAGGGAGGTGGCCCCCATGGTGCAGCAGACCTCTCCTGTCTTGCCCGCTGCTCCCCTCAGCAGTGGATTTCAGTCAGTCTACCAGTTCTGCTCCCCACTCTGTCTCTGGTGAATTCTCTCACCCCCTGGCACCTCTAGCCTACATCCCAGCTTTTGTATGCATAAATAAATAAATAAATCCTTAAAAAAAAAAAAAAAAAAAAAAAGAACACCCCTATCACATGTATTCACCTACTCAAAATAACTATCTATCCTACTCTTGAGAAATTAGCATGCAATTGACAAGGAGTATCAGATACTTGGTTCAAGCAGTGAGCAAAACAAACACAGCCCCTCTCGCCAGGACCAACAGTCTCATGCGGGAGACAGGCAGTGTTGTGCGGGTGCTGCAGCAGCTTAGAACAGGGAGGGATGGCACTGACCAGTAGGTAGGCGGAAATGACCAGGAGTTAGTCAGATGAGGCAGAGGGTCTAGCATGGGTAACCCTCAGGGGTGAGTGCAAAGGGAGGGATCAAGGTGGTGAAAGAGATTGTGGGAGGGGCAAGAACCAACAGATTTGACCAGAGAAGTTAGAGAAGCCAAATCACAAGAGGCCTTGTGAACCGTTTTAAGAAATAAAATTCTAGGGCGGGAGGAGCACAAGGGACTATGGTGATGATGCACGGGTGACTTGGTGGTGGAAATTCTATGGGGAGGAGACCTGAGAAAAGAAAGCAAACACTGTAAAAAAAAAAAAAGAACAATGATGTAAAATAAATATATGTAAATAAATTATATAATAAAAAAGCTTCAAAAAATTAAAAATAAAATAGAATTCTATTCTAATGATATGTTAAATCACTGAAGATTGTAAACAAAGGGGCAACATAACTAAACATGCATTCTGGAAGGATCACTCTGGCAGAGATGATTAGTGGCACATGAGCTAAAACTAGAGGCAGCAGATTGGGAGAAGTGGATGAATTCAAGAGCTAATCAGGAGGTAGAAACAACAGGCTTGAAGAGGGGAATTCAGGACCCCTCTCTACTACCCACAAATGAGATAGATCAAGAGCAAGACACCTCACCCCAAGAAGTGGTAGTGTTCTCTGTCAGGGTCAATTTTTCTAAGAGTACAGTCACTGTACTACAGTGAAAGTTGTTAGGTGAGTAACAAAAAGGGCCATTTAGCGTTCTACAGGACAAACTACTGGTTTCTTCTGTAAATCAAAGGCATAGAAAAAAAAAAAAAAAGATGAGCCGCTCTGGAATGAGGACATAATAACTAAATGCAATGCCAACTTTGATTGGATCCTGCATCAAATAAATGAACTCTACAATGATGTTGCTAAGATAATCACAAAAAGTTGAAACTGGACTTAAAATTAGACAATTTAAGAGAATTATTGTTAATTGTGTTAGACTTCATAATGGCATGATAGTTATTTTTAATAATCTCTTATCAAACAGATACATACTGAAGTAGTTACAGGTAAAATGACATGGTACCGGTGATTTGGCTTAAAATAATCTAGAAAACATAAAAAAAAAAAACCAATTACATAGAAAGCAAGAGATGAAACAAGACTGGCCAAATGTTGATAACCATACATGGACACATTGGGCTCACTATACTATTCACCTTTCTTTTTCATATGTTTGACATTTTCTGAAACTGAAAACTCAAAACAGTAACACAAGCAGCAAGCTGCTCTCTCCTAAGAGGGGGCAGGGCCAGCTCGCTCTCTCTGGATGACGAAGATCCTGGGGGAGCCCCACAAGACCTGGAACTGTGCCAGTTCTTTCTCCACTCACATGCTCTCATCTAGTTGTCTAAGCTGGTACAACGGGATGAGGCAGTCCTGGTGCAGACAGCGTTCCATCCTACCCACTGTTCTTTTCCTCCATTTGGGTGGGATTAATTGGGATTCACTAACTTCATCAACTTATAGAACTTATAGCAGTGACATCACAATCTGGATCTGGGTTTAGGGGAGAGAAGCAAAGGCAGCCTTTGACTGCTTTGGTCTCGGCCTGCCTGTAGCCCAGCTTAGCTAGGGAGTGTCCACACAGCCTAACCTTGAGCAGGAGAGCTCTGCCTCAGGGTGCGGGATCAAAGCTCTAGTTTGTATGAAAGTGTCACGTTGTCTTGCTCTCTCCTCTGAGTACAAGGCTCCACAAAGACCTCACAAGCAAGGCAGCTACAATTAGTTGGGGGTAAGATTCAAGTGTTTACAGGTCCTGAGTCAACACAGCATCTTAAAACCATGTGAGTATTGCCTCCTAATCACAATGTGACCTTCCTCTAGAGGGTAGTTTTCTGGGAGAAGAATTTCCTTCTGCAATAATGTGCTGGACCCCACTGAGGCAAGCTGAGGTGCTGCCATAATTGGTCAGGCCCTGGGCACTGGAGGCACCTTTAGGGAGGAGTGTCTGTGAGCAACAGATGAAAGATTTATGTGCAGTGTATTTAAAAACCCCAGAAAAGGAGGACATCCCTCTGCCTGACAGAGAGTAAAAGAGGTGATAAAAGTTCTGAGGCTCATTATCAATAGTATATCTATAAAATAATAACATTTCTGAATACCACTGATGGAATCAGCTTTGCACTTCATTTATGCATAAAATCAGGCTACAACTGCACCTCGAGCAGCTGTTACTCCAGCAGGGATGCTCCTCTCCATTTGAGACCGCCTTTCCTTTTCAATGCTATGTTTCAAGTCTTTGGGAACAGAAGGCACAGTGATATGAATTTAAGTTTGATACAAGAAAGGACCAACCTGGCCTAGAGGGGCACTAGCTCTGTAGCACTGCTAGGAAGCCCTTCTCTGGAGGGCTTTAGGGACAAGCCAGCCAGCCACTTGTCTGGTGTACTTTCAAAGAAACTGGTGTGAAGAGTGTTTGGGGGCAGAGGGATGTCATCATGATAGCAGTTCCTGATTCTTTTTTTCATTAAACTTTCCCAAATGTGGCATTCCCAAAAGGTACATGAGTCTACCTTAGAAAAACCCTTTCTAGAGCATCCTCCCTACTGTGAAGTCTTTGGCTAGGAACCTGCAGTCAGACTTCCTTCATCATTGCATATGGGAATGCGCACTGAATCTCCCTGCCTTGGTGTCGGGGAGTCTGAGACACTGCCTGAGCCCTGACTTGGAGAGTTAGATAACACGGGTTCCAGAGTACTGTTTTCAACTTTGTCTCCTTCCCCTTCTTACAGTCTACACGACTTCATCTTCAAATACTTCCCTACTTAACAAGGATAACATTTCCTAACTCTCCACATTTGTCCCTCATTTCATACCACCTCAAAGAAACATAACTAATATAAGGAATTGAAAAAAAAAAACAGAATAATGTATTTTTAGCCTGTAGTCTAGGAAAGTCTGAAAAGTACAAGGATGCCCATCTTCAGGGGAAGGTTCATGTTCCCTTCCTACATAATCTGAGCTTGGGAACGAGGCCAGAGTTGGCAGGAATGAAGATCCCTAATGCAGGCACTAGGTCACCGACCTGGCCTCAAAGGCCAGAGTGGAAGGAAGGCCATTTGCCTTGTACTAAGGACTCTGAGGAAAACTTCAGGAGCTCAGGAAGAAGTAGTTATCTCTCACACAAAGCAGAACTAGCCCGGATAATCCTTCCTTTCAGCTTTGCCAATTCTGTAAATTCAACGTGACATTATGAGAAAACTTCCTCAAGCTCCATTTGAATTTGTGAGTAAAGGTATTTGGATTTTAGTGATTAAACACATGATGGTCCAGGTACAGGATTTTCTTTTGGGACATGAACCACCATGTCTGAGATTCTATAACTGTTAAGATTCAATCTAATGGTGTTCCAGAACCCCATGTGGAATTGACTCTAAGTGACCCTCTCAAAAAGCCTAGAACCCTAGAGTATTCTCTCTTTGACACCAAAAAGAAAAAAAAAATCCTAAAATCTCACCTCTGCGCATATATCTGTGTGAAGGAAACCTTGCCCTTTATTGCCACTATTTTCAAATTCTCTAAGGCCTGGGGTATGGACATGGACAGTCTTTATATTTAAAAGATAAATCATAATTCTGAAATATCAGCAAATCCATATACAAAGCCCTTCCCCTAAAAAAAAAAAAAAAAAAAAAAACACCACCTGTAGGACTGTTTCATGCTTCACTTAACTGCCTCTCAATAACAGGCCTCCACCCAATCCAGACCTCTCCCAACATTAAAGAAAATGGCAAACTCCTTACTTCAGTGCTCCCCTTCCATCAATTTCGTTTGCTCCAATGCCCCCTCCCCAGAGCCTAGTGATCTGCCCCACCTTCAAATAATTTCCCCCAGCCAGGAAACAAACCACCCTGCCAAAAGGCTGCTGATGAAGCGCCATTCTCGCCTGTTTCTTGGTCTCTTCTCCTGACCTCTCCCGGAATTTCCAAGACAGGAAAAATAAATTACTTCCCACAATTCCAAAAAAAGAAAAATCCCAAACCTGAACTTCCATTGGGTAAAATTCTGAAAATTCTGAGGATTAAAAAAAGGGGGGAAGTATACAACTTCAAGTAAGGAGGGAAAAAATAATTGGAAGGCGCAGGTGTAGAGGACCGTAAAAGCTCCTTCCATGGTCAGCATCCTGTCCATAGATTCTTGACCAGCAAACCCCTGTTAGATACAAGCACAACTTACAAAGCCAGCATCCTAGTCTCAAACCTTCTCCCACCTTCTATCACCCCCTTTTAACACCTTTCTTTCTGGCAATAAAATCTACTAATCTGAGGACATGTTTCCTTCACCAACCACAGAGAACCTCCTCCTTGAATATCAGCCCTTAAAATCTTGGCCTAAAAGAATAAATTGTCAATTCTCAAACACCCAAATAGTAACTATTTTTCTACCCTAAGTTTCTTAATATTTGTTTATCCACACCTAGTCCACTCACGCTACAGAAAAAGCATTATTTTAAAAGTGTTCATTCATCAGATACTATCTATCCTGTGTCGGGCATAGTGCTGCGTGGTAGGAATATAAGGGGCCAGGGGGTTTGCCCTTATAGAACAAATAATCTAGCAGAAAAGAAAAAGACTCAAGCAGTAATAATGAGTTATGATAAGGGTGGGGGCTTAGGAGAAAGGATGGCAAATGGGTAGGGTTCAGAACTCAATGCTGTGGTACCAACAGCACCTAACCCCATTTATAGAAAGTCCGAAAAGGCTTTCCAAAAGAAATTACACCTAAACTGAGACAAGGGATATTTAGCAGTTAGCCCAGAATGAGGAAAGAGGACCTGTGTTCAAATCAGAGGGAGCTTATGTGTGGAAAGGATGAGACAAGATGGCTTCAGAAACCTGAATGAATAAACACAATTTTTGATAATACTTGTCGCCAGTGTTCCACTTGAAACGTCATTCCCAGCCAATTACGACACCACAGAAAAGAAGGCTGAAAGCACAGTATGACTCACTCCTTCACACAGCTTCTGCCCAGTGAGCAATGCCAGCTGTGAAACATGCCAGAACTTACCGCCCCGTGCGCTGAAGTTCTGGACCGCTGTGACCCCCATGTGGTTCTGGTTCTATGTGGCAAACATTTCCATTTGGAACTCCAGGCATTTTCCTTTTTTCCTTTTAACAAAGAATCACGAAATTAGTAAAGTCAGGCGTCTATGCTGTTCTTCCTGTGAATAGGGGAGATAGTGATGAAATCATGCAAAAGCAGCCAGATAATACCCAACTATTTTTAGCTTTCAAATGTGTTTACTTATTTGGGACAATTCATTGACTTTCCTGGAAAAAAAATAATTGTCCTCCCCTCCTCCTCTCCTAATACCTAACTCTGCCTTGCCCAGAAATAGAGAGAAAGACAGGAACCTTGGCAGCAGGTATGACCAAATTCCAGTTTTAAATCTGCTAGCCAAAAGGCCCCCCCCTCCCCCGCCTTCTCTTAACACCCCCCACCCCCCACCCCCACCCCCACCCCCACCCCCTTAATTTAAAACTTTGAAGACAGTCTTAGTCCTCATTTGTAAAACTAAGGATAACAATACAATAGGCCCTTGAATGATGCCACTTTGTTCAACTTGTTTCATTGTAATGCTGAAGAGAAAATATGCCAGATCAATCCTGAATGAAACACTATTCAAGAACCTGGTTTCCTTGTACCTCATTGGGCTTAAAGTGACAGTTTCCTAGAATTTATCAACAACGTTAAGTGAGGACTTCCTGCACCTATTTGGAGAAGTTGCTGGGAAGACTGAATTAGCATATGTAAAGCACCTGGTCAGGTCAGGTGTCTAGTACACACCAGGAGCTCCTCCCTTTATTCAACCTGTCAAAAAGTATGGGGGACTTTTTTTGCTCTCTTTATACAACTGGCTCTTTTCATTAATAGCTTCATGCATGATATACACATTATACTCCCAAGAAATGTCCTCCCCTCTCTCCCATTCCACATCCATTCTTCAAAAGTTGGCTTAAAATCCATCCTAGGGTAATGCTGACTGATCCCATCACACCTCAGCTAATCCATGTTACCACATATCCATATTTATTACTGTTCTGATTTCCTAGCTATCCTGAAGCAGGACTCTGTCTTAATTTCCTTAGCATGTACCCACATGGGCTTTGCTTTGTCTGTGGTGGGCACTCAGTAAGAGACATCAAGCCACACTGGCTAGTGTGCATACCTTACCTGGGAAGGGACATTTTTGGGTGGTTCAATTCTAATGGAGGGGTCCCACTCTCCTGGAGGGAGCACTGTCACTTGGTCTAGGAACTCATCAATCCCCGCCAGGAGATCATCTCGTTCTTTTGCCTTGTATGCCACATCATGAAAAATCTGTGGAGAGGAAAAAAACCCTCAGGAAAATTGAAAATAACTTTACTTGAAACAATTACCAATGGATACAGTAAAGGATTTTTTTCTATGCAAGGACAAGTGAGACAAGCGGTTTCTATCAGGGGAAACACTCAGAAGCCCTATCCCAGCTGACACATCAACCCCAGCTTGAACCTATCCCATCTCCCTCCTGCTCTCAGAGGTAGAGCCAAAATTATCAGCTAGACATTAAAGTCACCACCTGTCAACCCCTTGATTTTTTATCTCTGCCAGGGGAAGGATAAAAGTAAAAGGTGAGATAGGTCAAAAGAACTACATATTTGTAAGAATATGAAGAGACAAGACATGACTCTGAAGTTGTGTAATTCTGTTATCTCCTCAAAGACAGGGAACAGAAGGCAAGATGCATGGGGAAACTTTTCTGACCATAATGACTAGAAAACCTGGATGGAATTACTAATGACAGTCCTTCATGAAATCAAGGAGCGCTCGTAAAACACAATCTGTTTCCTACTGCCTGTTGGACATATGCCTTGAAAGTATTGCTTGGAAACTCCCACAAGCACCGCTGTCCTTATCAGGGGATGCAGTGGGGGTTCAGCACCGTGACAGTCAAAATGGCTGGTTGCTGAGTAATTCACATTACAGTGCCTGAGTTCATGTCCCTGACCCTTACACAACCTGGTCTCCTGTACATAGAGTAGGAGTGCTCATTGCCTAGCACAGAGTAAACACTCAATATTTATGAGATGCATGACTGAAAGCAAAGGTGGCACTTACTTCATCGGTCATGATGGTGGCCATGGATCTGCCAATCTCATGGTACTGCTGACCTTTCCCTACTGGGCCCAATAGGATAAACAAAAATCTAGCAAAACACACAAAGAATGAAATTATGTAAGTAAATATAAAGAAGTGGCATCTGACTGCTTTCTAAATAGCAGAGCATTTCTCTCTCCTATCAAATACAAATCATCATGGTATCTTCAATAAAAGAAGACAGCCTAATAATGGGGCAGACCTAGTTACCTTGATCTAATAGCTCCACTATGGGCATGGAAACTATTTGTATGAACCCATTCAATAACGTGGTTAAAATTCTTGGGTTTTCCATAGATACAATTCCTTGCTATGAAAGGGCACTTTTACAATACATGGTATTGTAGTACAAATTCAAGGTTATCTGATTCTTATTTGTTGTTCTAATAAGAAAATGATGGGCAGAGGAGTGGGACAAGGAAGTTGAAACGAGCAAGCCCTGAGGAAGAGTCTAAGTTGTTTTCTGGGCATCTGAATACCCTGTAAAATTAATGGGGTTCTGAATCACCACCTTCAGAGTGCATGAATGGCCTTTTGAACAAGGTGGATATATTTGCAAACCATATATTTGCAAACTAAATCCTGCCAGAACTGTGGAAAGAGACATCAATACCTTTGCTCAAAGAGGAAAGGTTTCCGAGACACAGCGCTATAGAACTGGGAGAGTAAGACTTAGACTCCTCGTTACAATGACTGGTCCTTGCTACGCCCTGTGAATGCTCTTCAGTTCTCCATTTCCAAGGCTGTAAGTACTGCAAAGTAACACTTAAAAGTCTTGGAATTCCCTGTGTAGAGGTTAATCAACTAAACCCTAGTTTTCTGATATCACTGTGAATTTTAATCCTAATTAATCCCAAATTTTGGCTTTGGCTGGTTTCTTTCACCAGAGCTCACATAAGTCTGTGATTTATGACAATGCATAAAGACAGAATGTACTCAATTTTGCTGTCTTTGCATTTACCTAGTTGGGATGGGAACTTCTGTCAGGCCTGAGAGAAGAACGGCTGGTGACAACCTCACAAAGGCAACAATGGGGCGGTCAAGAGTATCCACCTCTCCAACCAGGACGTTTGAGGCCTCTGCCCCAGTGGGAATTTTTTTCATGAAATGAAGGTCCACCTGAAAGTCCAAAAGAAACTTCTGACAAGTTGGTAGCTATCACCACAAACATCAATCATCCTCCTCACACCTTACATTCAAATGTCATGTCATGATTTCATAAGTGTTTTCTCACAGTATTTATTTGATCCTTATAATAATCCTGCAAATGGGAAAGACAGGTCTTATTCACCCCCTTTCGTATTTTAAAAATAAAGCAAGTGACACCTACAGAGGTGAAATTGACTTGCTCAGGATCACAAAGCCTCTGGGAGAATTAATATCCAGGTGCTCTGACTTGATTCCATTATACCACCCTTCCTCAAAGGAGAATGTTTTTGAAGTTCCAGGTTAAATTTTCTTCTTGAATGGTTTGACAGAGGCTTCAGGTTTTCTAAATGAAACAGGGAACATTATGAACAGGAAGCGACATGGCACTATCTGTATTTCAGGAAGAGGTGTCAAGGACAGACCAGAGCAAGAAGAGAGGCAGGGAGATCGAGGCTTGGACCAGAAGCTGCAGTGGAGCACCAATGCTGTAGTGAGCCTCAGACAACAGAGCCACCATCCCCAAGAAAAGCTTCAGTTATGACATGGTTTTAGGAAACAGTAGCAAAAATATGGTCTGACAAAATCCCTAGAGGTAAGAGGACAGTAGGTAACAAAAAACAACTGACAAACCAGAAGCTTTGAAGGAAGGATTCTCAGAGGTTAGTGTGTTTCAGCATATTGAACCTGGTAGAACAAACTGATAAGTCAGCCCCATTCAGGCTGGATTAGAAGGGAGAAGACATGAGAAAACAGGCCTCCTTTTCTGCAGAAGGTTCTACAGACCCTTTCAGCTCCAGTGCTGGAGCATGTATCCTGAGCTATCCAAGCATACCCAGCTTCCAGATATTGGGCTTTGGGTTCCAATAGAACTGCTCTTAGGCTTATGAGCCAATTTCCATGTCGCTGCTCACCTTGCTTAAATCCACAGGGCTGTGTTCACAATTCATCCCATTTTTTACTTCAAGATTTGCAGGAGGAACAGACTGAGGAGACACAGTTTGGCCTGTGTAGAGACAAGCGAACATAATTCTCTGAGCCCTTGCCCTTCCCCCTCAGATACACCCTACCCGTCATCAGCCAGCGATGACTATCTCCTGCAAAGCCCACATGGAGAAGAGGTTGAGATGATTATGAAGCCAGGTCCCACACAGACCTATTTCCTTACTTTATTTATTGCTAAAGCGAGGACACAGATCTCACTACTTTTGCATCTTCTGTTTGAACACATTTGTGACCCTTTTTCTCCTCCATGAAGGTAATACTCCTTCACCTGGGGTGCTTATCAGAGACTTCTAGGAAAAATTTTCCCAATACATAGATGCCTATGCATATCCCCTGCACAGGGTGATTCAGTAAATGTGGGGACAAGGAGCTCAACAGGTTAGGCCCAGCCTGACCACAGAAAGAAATCAATCAGTTGATTTATAAGCCGCCCCCCACCAGCACCATGCGCCTGGCTAAGGTGATACATGGATTAATTTATTAAAGTCTCACAATAAACTTTGGAGTAGATTCCAAAGTAGAGTAATCATCATAATTTTAGAGATAAGAAAATGAGACTTAAAAAGGTTTAGGAATATTCCTCAACCTCTTGCCTTTGCAAGTGGTAAAGTCAGAAGCTCAAGCTGAAAAGTTCCAGAGCCTACATTACCATATTTAAACCTAGTCTAAGACAATCATTTACTCTCGAAAAGGCTCCAGATGATCTTCTCTGGCTCCATATTATCCCCAGCGTGGGTAACTCTGGGGCACAAGTCCCTGTCTATGGCATGCATCCCCAGTGCCCAGAGTGGGGGCACCAGTCCTTGCCACCCATCTCACCCATCAAGCCGAAAGTACTGTGTGAGCAGGGAAGAGCAGGAGACAAATCCAGCAGCTATCCTCTAGCAATTTAGTATCTCCAGAATGTCTTATTATTGAAAAGAGACAACAGTCTCTCCTAATAATCTTACCATTTTTATCCATCGAATGTGGATCAGACTGCTTCTTACCAACTTCTGCAAAGGAGCGAACAATCGGAATGAGGTTATTTCTCTTCTTCTCATTTTGATGATGATGCTTTTTGAGAAGGGCTTCCCGCACTTTAACCCTCATGCTGTCATTCAGGTCACTGAACAGTTCTTGCTGGTCCAGGATCAAGTCTGGAAAGTAGATGCCAACATGAAGACTCAAACTGAGCATCAGTCACCCCAAGGAGGCCAGCGTCAGGTGCATGGAGGGGAAAAGGCAAGGAGTAGCGGGAGTGGTCCCACTGGGGTCATCAAAATGTGATTTCTACTTCAGTGACTAAAAGAGCTATCTGAATAATAGTGGTCACAAGATAAACTTGATTCATGCAATAAATCATTATTAGGAATAGAAACTACTATACTACCAGCTTTACATAGATTATCTAATGGAATCCCTATAAAAACTGAAAAATAAAAAAAACTGAGAAATAGGTGGTATTATAACAATTTTTATAGAAAAGGAAACTGGGCCTCCCTTGTGACACAGGCGGTTGAGCCCAGCGCTATGAGGCTGTCCACAGCCTCTGCAGTGCCGGTTCAATCCCCACCGGCCTCGGAGCAACCCACATGGCGAGCAGACCTCTCCTGTCTCGCCCGCTGCTCCCCTCAGCGGTGTATTTCGTCAGTCTGCCTGTTCTGTTCCCCACTCTGTCTCTGGTGAATCCTCTCACCCTCCCGCGCCTCTGGCCTGCACCCTGGCTCTTGTATAAATAAAATAAATCTTAAAAAAAAAAAATGAAGAAGAGGAAACTAAGGTCCAATCATTACAAAATCTCCCAAGGTCACACATTTAATAAGTTGCAGAGCTGGGACTCAAATCCAGGATTGTCTGACTCGAAAACCCACAAAAGATAAGCCTAAATCTAAATCCCCCAAGACCCTGTGAATATAATTTTATTTGGAAAAAGGATCTTTGTAGATGTAATTAAGGATCACAAAATGAGATCATCCTGAATTACTGGGATGAGACCTAAATCCAGGGACATAAATAACAAGTTCACACAAAGACAGGGGCGACTGGAGCTATGCGGTCATATGCTCAGGGTCACTTACAGCCACTAGGAGGGGGAAGCTGGAAGAAACAAGGACTAATTTTCCCCTTCAGAGAGAGTGTAGCCCTGCTAACACCTTGACTATGATCTTCTGGCCTCCAGAACGATGAGAGAATAAATCTCTGTAGTTCAAGTGACCAAGTTTGTAGTACTTTGCTCCAGTGGCTCTGGGAAAGGAATACACGTTTCATGGCTGTGACCTGTTCTCTTCTCACCTCTCTGACCACACTTCAGTTTCTTTTTTTTTTTTTTTTTTTTTTTTTAAATCTTATTCTAGTCATACTTTTAAAGAGGCATGTTTTTTTTTTTTTTTTTTTTATTTATTTGTTTGCTTGTTTATACATGCACTGGGTACAGTCAGAAGCACGGGAGGGTGAGAGAATTCACCAGAGCCAGAGCGAGGAGCAGAGCAGGCAGAAGCGAAGTACACTGCTGAGGGGAGCAGCGGGCGGCAGGAGAGGTCTGCGCGCCATGTGGGACCCTCCTCCGGTGGCCGGGAGCAGCCGGGGATTGAACCGGCGCTGCAGAGGCCGCGGGCAGCTTCGCAACCCAGCGCTCAACCGCTGCGCCACCGGGGAGGCCCACACACTTCAGTTTCTTTTACTGACTTTTCTTCCTCCAACCTACCCACAATCCCCTCCAAGGCACACTTAACCTTTGGCATTCCCCTAGTTTCTGTCCTCAGCCTCTAATCTTCCCTCCCATTATGATAACCACTTAGAAGACTACAAATACCAGCTGTCTATTAATATGTGCTGACCCCCTAAAACTGTCTCCTAGTTCCTATCTGTCTTCTAGGGTCCAGATCAAAGTTTCAGTCACTCACTAGACATCTATATCCAGACATCCCACGACCCCTAGAAACCAACAAATATGAAAAAAAAACTCATTGTCTTCCCCACCAGATCTGCTTGTTTTCTAGCCACCTAAGCCAGATCATTAATTCTCTGCAGCCCCCCTCAAACGGCCAAACTATCTTACCAATTCTACTTCTGATTTTCACTGGAAACAGTTCTCTCCCTTTCCATCCCTGACTGCAGTTAGAGGGGATGTCTCATCTGAACTATTGTAACAGTCTAAACCACAGCTTCCCTTCAATTCATCCTCCACATTGCTGTCATCATTCTCATCTAAAATGCAAAACTTGGTCATTATGCTGCCAAAAACTCTCCAATGTTTCCCTGTTGATTACAGAGAGTTATAAGCAGCTTCATTAACTCCCAGAGGGTCTTCTACCTTATACAGATCTTTCAAGAGACCCTCACGGGATTTCAGACACCCAGCCAAACATTAACAAAAGATGGATGTGACCCCAATGGCCAACACAAGAGTTCTGTTCTTCCCCAGGTATTTAGAGTGGTAATTCTGGGGCACCTCCTATGACAAAAAGGGGGACACAATGCTGACCCCTCCCCTGAGTCTCCACATGATCCCAGAGAAGCAGAATTACTTGAATTTTTGAAATGGAGAGAAGTTTGGAGCAATCTTTACTTGTCCAGCCAAGAAAATCCGAACCAAAGGGGAAACCCTCACATGCCTCCAGTGTTTCTCACACTCCATTGCCGGCCACACCAGGTAACTATCAAACATCTCCCCTTCACATCTTGATGAAAAAGTGGGGGCACTTCAGCTCAATTTCCTTTATGTCTTGCCTAGCAAACATATTATAAAAATCTTTAACTTATTTTTCTCTACATAACTCCCAGTTGCCCCTTTATTAATTATTACCAAAACATATCTTTTGTTGTACCTATTTTGATTGTTTCCATGGCTATTTCCCCCACTACACAGTGAGCTCACTGGGGACAGGAACTGTATCTTATCTTTATTCCCCTGTGCTTAACATAGTACCATGCACACAGTAGACACAATATAAATGTTTTCTAAATGACAGGCAAAGGAAAGACTAAACACTATGTCACCTGAATCCCTAAGTCTGTGAAATAGATTATTTTCTTAGTTTGAAACCCAACCCACAGCTGAAGATGCTGAGGTTAGGAAAGCTGAGTGACATACGGTCACTTTATTCTTCTCTCTGTGTCACCTTTCTCAATTTACACAAAAGTTCTTCCATTTTCCTCACCTAACCTTACCTGAAATTTCTTCTATGCTATTTGCACGCATATCCAGAAGGACTGTTCCATTAATAAGGCAGCTCCTTAACTCAAAGAGACTGTGCAATGACAGGGTTGCCACATAAGGCTTGCTCCAGCGTTCTCCCCCATCCTCAACATCTTCTTCAAACTTCAGCCACCTGAAAGCATTACAAACAACTAGATGACAAAGATAGAAAATGAGGAATTTTCAAGAAAGAACTTTTAATGTAAGTACAAAGAAAGGTATTGTCAGAGGCATCTCCACAAAAGGGGGGGCAGTACCTTGGTCCCTGCCACACTTAACGAGGGGTGAGCTACATAACATGAAGACAAGTGGGCTTAGGGAGACAAGTGGAGAAGAAGGGCACACTTGCTTCTCGGTTTGGGGCTTGCACCATGGACTTAGAAGACGGGGAAAGAGAAGAAGCCTATATGCTGTGATCTTTAAAGATTTATAAAGACAGACTGACACAACTGATTGCCCTTTTGGTTGTCATCAGGTTGACTGGCTTATTTAATCCTCTACCGACTGAGCACATCCATGAATACAGCAGGTATCCAGGAATAGCTATTCCAATGAGAGATAAAGCCACTAGTGTTGCTAGTTACCCCAAGGGCACCAGCACGCTGTCTAGTGAGTTATCAGAAGGGCCCTAGACATGGCCCTAGTTAATCAGAAGGCAACTGTGGGATTTGAGGCAGAAAAGCTGGTCCCTCTACAACTACCCCCATGAAGTCAGGTTGGTTATAATCAATGAGGTTTGATGATCCCACTGGAAGTTTGTCTTAAAAATTCTGGATCCTTTGGTTCACCTTCAGGAAAAGTCTGAACATATGTTGTCTGCTGGATAGGTCTAAACCAAGGTGACCCTGTCAGGTACCTCCTAAGCCACACCTGTAATAAGATCAAGATAGCTCACGAATTACTCTGGCCCCAAACAAATGAGAAGACCCCTTGGATGCTCCATATTCCTGTCACCAACCCAGGCTCACGTCAGCTGGCATGTGTATGGCCATATGTGTATGACCACAAAGAGGCCAACATCAAGACTCCCACAGGAGACTCAGGGTCACAGTCCCCAAGTCAGTCATCACTTCTATGAAAAAATAAAATGCAAACATGGTCGGGACTTGCTGAAAGGCACACATTTACCTACCCAAGCAAATCTTGACCCAGGTTATTTAAAGGCCTCACCTAGCTGTCTCCTTCCACTCAGCATCTTCTCCCTCTTTCATACAGATCTCATCCAGCTCTGTGAACAGCTCATGCGGCACATGCTCTTCATCCTCCTCGGTGCCAAGAATGAACTGAACACGCTGAGATGGTGTGTCTGGAAAATCAACCACAGAGAAAGGTCTGCTCCTCGCCTCAAAACAGAAGTAGCAAGCTGCCATACTTAGCACACCTGGGGGCCTTGCAACTTCAAGAACAAGCAGAAGAGAATCCTTGACATAGATTAAAAAAAAAAAAAAGCCTTTATTTTCAGAAAAAAAAAAAAAAGCTGTTCTGTGGAAGCAGTTTCATGACTGCTTGAAGAAAATCCACAAGAAACTAGAAATTTGATTAATTTGATCAAAAGGTATGGCTAATTCTCTAGCAAATGATTTTCTGCACTATGGTATTAACTTGGGGGGTTGAACTGCAAAGTTTTCAGGAAGACACTTTTTATTCTTACAGGCATTCCTTCTTGGAAACAAGCTTTTAAAACCCCTACAGAAAGACTAGAGAAGCCAGACCACCTGCTTAATGCCCATCGCGAGTCCCTCAGCCTCACCAAGCCTGTGAGCCATGGACACCAACCCTCCCCGCCAGGTGTGTTACCGTGGGCCAGGGCTTCAGGGCCCTCCTCCCCCTGGCTGGCTCCTTTGCCCCGACCTCGTCTCCTGTGCTTCTGACCATGGGTTCGGTGGTGCCGATGGCTCTGTCGGCCCAGTGGCATCCGAACCCCCACGTACAGAGTTCTATGACCTAGAAGAAGCAGAAAATCCATGGAAAGAAAGCCTTCTCCAAAAGGAGTTTAGCAAATCTAAAATACAGGGGAAAGACTACAGTTCTTTGGAGTCATAACCCTAATAACAAAATTTCAAGACTGAAAATGTAGAGCTGTTACAGTTGAAGGTCTTGGTCCTGCATGCGACTGCAAACCTTACGGGAATATTGTTAAAATTAAAGGAAATAATGTGTGTGAATATGGTTTGTAAACTATAAAGGTCAATAGAGATGTTGGTTGTTGTTACTACAACAAAAAATTTGACTGAGCAATTAACAAATAGCAGCACTGTCACTCCCTGAGAAACGCGGCCAGTCATAGCAGAAAGGCAGTTTAGGGATGTGGTTTAGTGCTGGAGCCCACCGCTTGGGTCCAAAACTCAACACCATCATTCAGAGCTATGTGACCTGGAACAGGTTATCTTAGCGCTCTATGACTGACTTTAAAAGGATACCGAAAGCTTATTACCTACATTCAGGGAGCAATAAACCACAGTGTAAAGTGTTTAACACAAATCCTGGAATAAATACTCGTAGCCAGCACATTCTAGGGTCAGTTTCCATTACTTTTTTCCTACACTGTAGCATACACAATGTAAACTGGTAATAAGGGCCTAGTTGCAATCATAAGGAGCCTGAAGCCAGGCTCATAGGGAGAGATAGCGAATTTTGTACAAAAATAGGGGCGCATGAGAGACTAAACAATGCAGCAGCATTCCTTCTCTAGCCCCCCCTTTCCTAGGCCGCTCATCTCCTCCTGGCTTCACTTGCCCTCTGGGCAAGCCTGGCGCCCAGAATCCGCAGTTTCAGGGATACTCCCCCACCTCTAAGGCACAGAGCCCTTGGCTTCCCCATTTCAGCCCAGCTCCTGCTGCCCGGCATGCTAGATCTCAGGTCAGCGCCCCACAATTTCCACCACAAAAGCTGATTTAACTTCACTGTCTTCAAATTCACAACCTTACCCCTATTTCCTCCCTCTGAGCAGATGACTCACTTCATAGTTTACCGAAAAGACTTGGACCCGCCACCTCAGCCTGGCTCGCTTTCTCCCCTGCTTCTCCTGCCAGGCTAATAAGCCTCCCCTCCCACCCCTCTAGAGTCCTTCTCCACCAGTTATCCCATCCGTCCTTCCCACCCATCCCTCCCGGGTTTCTCCTGACCACAGCCATGCTCAGTCTTGCTCACCTTGAGAAGAATCTTTCCCAATGCAATGCTATTCTCCCAGGTTTCCACCTCGTCCTTTTCTCTTCATCAAACCACTCTCAAAAATAGTCCACTGACCTTCCTCCCTTTCCTCGCAGCTCCTGTTCCAGGCCTCTGCAGGCGGCTGCTCTCTGCTGAAACTGCCCTCATGAGGGACACCAAAGGCCCTTTATCACCAAATTTCTATCATCTCATGTTTCTCAGTTCAACTCAAAAGACTTCACTGAAAGCTCACCAGGAACCTGGCGGTATCTAAATTCTTGGATCACTCCCTCTCCTCAGTGTTCTGGGCTACCTTAGCTCCTGCACCAAAGTTCCCTCTGGCTCACGAGTGCTTCTTTCCCTACCCCATCCGTCATCCACCAAAGGAAGGCACAAGGATTTTCAACCTTGCCCCTTTTCATCTCTTTTTAATAATATCCACTATCCTGATTTCAAAGTTCACTGCTACAAACTACCCTCAAGTCTTTATCTACAGTGATTCAAAATATCCCAAAGTAAACCACCATCTTCCATCTCAAATCAGGTTGATATTCATTTCTTTTCTTCCACATTTCTGTTCACGGCATCATTCTCTCAACTTTCCAGGCTTTAAACCTCAGAGTTACCTTAGATTTGCACCACTGCTCCTTAGTCCTCAGTGTTATATCCTCTAGATTAGGGGAGTCAAGCCTTTCCCCCCATTTTGACAACAGCAGAGGACTCCTTCCTGCTTGCCATACCAATTCAGCCCTATCAACTAATTCCCCTGAAGCACTCCCCCAATCACGGCTCACTGCTCTGCAGTCAGGACCCTTCATGTTCTAGGGCACTCAGGCCCCAGCAAATTAAAAATTAAAAAGGAAAATAAAAGGAAAGGCCTCTAAAATATCTGAGTTATCAGCAGAAGAGAACTGGAAATCCTATACACACCACACCATGTGAGGAAAACATCTAGAAATGTACACCTTGTGAATCTATCCCAGCAACACAACCTTACTTTGACTCCATCTCCTCTTCGTGGTCTTGACTGACTGTAGCCACCATTATCTGACAGTCTTTCTTCTACCTGAGCCAAACTGCTATTCCACAAATGAGCCAGTGCTTTCTAGACATGGACTTGGCTCACTCTTTCAAGATTCATTATAAATGCAACTTCCTTCTTGGTGGTATTGCTGATCTCCCCAACCAAGAAGTGCCCCTCCTTCCTCCAAGAACCCTTGGCAAGCATTCTCCTATGCACTTGTTTTGTGCCTCACATTCAAATTAAACAACTCTTGGTCTTATATCCCACTGTTCATCTGCAAAGCTCCTCAAGGTACCAGGTCAGACCTTCTTCCTCTCAGAATCCCTCACATAACAAACCACAGAGTCTTTTCCATGGTCATTGCTCCACGAATGTCCAGACCTCTCAGGGCCTCCTCAGGAGCACACAACCTGACTTGAGAGGATACAGATCTGAAAGGGGCCACAAAAAGAGCATGTGCCGAAATGAATGCGTTTAGGGCAAATGAAGCCATCAGCAGGCATGAGAGGGTCTGAGCCAACCTAAGAATGGAAAGCTTACTTCAGGAAGGCTTCCTGGATTAGGGGGCTTTAGGGAAAGAGTTACTGATTCTTCATTTTTTTCTCTGCCCAGCAACGGGAATCCTAACTGTGCTTGACTTCTTTGGCGATTCTTTGATAGTTCTCTCTACTTCCAAATGGGGATGAAATGCCTGGGGGTGCTGCTTTACTACCCCTTTCACTGTATTTCCTTCTCTTCTTTTGTCTTCCCCTCTTCCAGAGGTTTGTCAGAGTGTTAAGAGGTAGGAGGACAAAACATTTGGTATCTGGTAGAATCACACCTCTCATCCTTCTCCTAAAGACAGTCCTATGTTGACTTGTGCACAGCTCAGGACATTTTTGACAGGCAGATTTCTGAACACAATGTTCTCATTTTGCAATTTCATTGAAACAGAAATATAATGCCAAAATAGGTCATTTGCTAAGATGTCGAATACCAGACCTCTGACATTATCAGTGAAAGTATGACATGATCAGTAAAGTATGAAAATGAATAAATTGAATACCATCTTCATAAAATACCATCCATTAACTAATGATGCTCCACTATAGTATGTTAATGAGATCCCTACAGCACAGCAGTGAGACCAGCCCAGGTGACACTGGCAGCAGCCAAGTCCTATCCCAAGGGGGATTTCCGCAGCAAATGGAAAGTACATACAGAATAGATACTATCATCTTAAGAAGATGCTCTTACTACAAATTACTCATCTGACCTCTGTGGATTTAACCCAGTCTTCAGGATCCAAGAGAGCTTACCCAGGTTCATTATCCTACTCCCAAGCAGATAAGAATGTTCATAAATGGTTACCTCTTGCTAAGGGCAGAGGTCTAGTGGGGCCAGACAGTAAACGAAAAGCAACAATGCTCTCATATTGCAATGAAAGGGTAGGAAGGCAAGAGGATTATCAGGGCAGAAGGGGTGAAGCAATATGTAAAATGCTTATATGCTGGAGCAGATGTTAAGGTTGGGTGGTTAGTGCTGGGTACTGTCCACCCCCACAAGCAGCGTGCTAGAGTGCAAAGAACAGAATTCCATTTTAGCCCCACCTACTATGAGGCTACGTGACCCGGAACAGTTCCCTACATGTAAAATAGAGATGACAACTACCTGCCTGGGCTGCTGTGAACACAAAAACACAATTTTGTATGAAGGGTTCAATCAAATTAACGTACGGGGTGTTCAACAAATAGCCTCCCACCTCCCCACACATTCCTTCTCCTATTTTCTACCAAATGCTGAAATCCACATTGGCTCTTCTTCCATCTAGTCAGAATAACTTGGAAAACTTGACCTTGATATAGCTGAAATCCACTGACCTCCACAGAGCCACCCACATAAGTTCTCATGGTAACAAACCCAGAGGCTGAGTCAGCCTCTACAGCTTTCACTCTTCATATCCAAAGGACAAGTTTTCTCTGGGGATTGTACAACTTTGATGGAAAAAACATCACTGGAACAAGAAGTACAGAGAGAACATTTCACATGCTGTCTCAGTTACTAGAAAGTTGCTGCATCATAGCCTTCAACATTGCAGGAGATGCTGTGGAGATTTCAACAAAGGCCTTTGCGCCAAATGTGGGTTCTTATTAAATCTGCACAGAAATAAACCTTTCTCTAACAAAATAAACCTTTCTCTAACTAAGTGCTACCCCTAATCAGCAAAATAGGCCCCATAAGAAAAAGGGAAATGAAATAGAGGGACCCCACACAATGGTCATGCAGGGAGCTGGGAATGGGGAAGCAGAGAAAGGAGGAAGAGCCTCAATAAGGTAAACCAGACAGCAGGTCAATTAAATTGTCTCTCCTTTCTTTCCACTTCAGTTGGGTTTTACACAACTCTGTGCAGGGAACACATAGAATGTGCTACCGGGGTGTACACATGCTCCGTTTTCTTGTTCAAATGGAAACAGGAGGCAGAAATGGGTATAGTTAGATCAAGGATGGGGTAAAAACAGGGTCTTATAGCCAAACTGAGTTTTAAAAACTATTTATATTATGTTTTGTTTTAAAAGTATTTTATATACTTATATTTCCAGGTAGTTGTCAAGAATCAACTGAGCTGAGTATGTCACATCCGCACGTGTAGATCATTTATGAATACAGATCATTTATTCATATTTATATCGGACTTTACAGTACTCAAAGCACAGTCTCACCTGCTATTATAGCCTAATAATCAGACAGGCGTTATTATCCCTACTTTTATTCAACAGACAAGGACATTGAGGCTAAAGAAAATTAGGTGACCCCCCCACCCCCCATCCCAGTCTTACTGCTAATGAGAAAGTTTGGACTTAAGCCCAGGTCTCCTGATGGCAAAGCTGTTCCCACCACACTTTCTTATTAATCCCAACCCCCCCCCCCCCAGAAGAACAGCAGCTCGTACCTTCCAACTCTTCTTTCTCATAGTGAATGTTGAGAATTGTACTGGTCCCACCCTGATCCACCACAGCTTCTTCATCTGGTCTCTGTTGAAAGATAACTAGGTGGTCACAACAATGCACATACATTCATTCCAACATCCATTCAAGTACTCTCTAATGTCAGACCTGTTATGTAACACTTGGGGGAAATGCATATTTTACATACATTTTTAACTTGAATCTCACACTAACTTTGAGACACAGATATGGCATTTTGTAAATGAGCAGCCTGAAACTCAGAGCACATTATTATTGCCCAAGGCCACAAACATGGTGAAAGACAGAGCACCAGGAATTATCACCGCAGGTCCCACACCTTTTCCATCTCCACAGCTGTAGAGCATGCCGGCATTGTGGAAGTGGTCATGAGGAGATTCAACAAGTTTCTGAGGCAACTTGAATATAGAAACTTTTAGGGAAGTGGATGAAAGAGTCAAGTGCCTATTTATAGTATTTTATTGATGAATTCACTGTTATGGACATATTTAAGATTGCTTATTATTATGCAATACCATGGGACATCTCTAAGATATAATATAAAATTTAAAAAGCAAAGGAGATAAAACAGTATAATTTGCTAACCTTATGTAAGAAAGGGGTTTGGAATAGGTACATGCACTTATACTTAAAAGCATATGAAGAAAGGACCTCCCCCGTGGTGCAACAGTTGAGCACTGGGTTGCGAGGCTGCCCGCAGCCTCTGCAGCACCGGTTCGATCCCCGGCTGCCGGGTGAGGGTCCCACATGGCACGCAGACCTCTCCTGCCGCCCGCTGCTCCCCTCAGCAGTGTACTTTGGTCCTTCTGCCTGTTCTGCTCCCCGCTCTGGCTCTGGTGAATTCTCTCACCCTCCCACGCTTCTGACTGTACCCAGTGCTTGTATGAATGAATAAAATAAATCTTTAAAAAAAAAATAAATCCTCAAATCATTGAGAATTTCATTATTTAAAAAAAAAAAAAAAAGCGTATGGGGCCTCCCCGGTGGCGCAGCGGTTGAGCGCTGGGTTGCGAAACTGCCCGCGGCCTCTGCGGCGCCGGTTCGATCCCTGGCTGCTCCCCGGCCACCAGAGGAGGGTCCCACATGGCGCGCAGACCTCTCCTGCCCCCCTCTGCTCCCCTCAGCAGTGTCCTTCGGTCCTTCTGCCTGCTCTGCTCCCCGCTCTGGCTCTGGTGAATTCTCTCACCCTCTCACGCTTCTGACTGTACCCAGTGCATGTATAAACAAAAAACAAACAAAACAAAAACAAAATAAATAAATAAATGAAAAACATGCCTCTATAAAAAAAAAAAGCGTATGAGGAGATAACAAGCCATAAAAGGATTTTTAAAAATAGTTGACAGGTGAGGAAAAAGGGAAAAGAGAAAGGGAGACAAATATTGAAACCAAACCTCTTTGAAAATACCTTATTTTGTAAATATTTTACATATTTTCTTAAAAAATAAAAATTTGAAAAGTAATTCCCAGAAATCAAAAACAAAATGAAGACAATGTCAAACTAGTTATATGGCATAACTATTCCAACAGAAATTATTCCAAATAAGTCTAAAACATAATAAATGAACTGAGTATCCTTGGTAGCTTTTTTCCTACAGCAAAAAGAATTTTGAAAGATCTTAAACTGCTTTTTATCATATTGTTGGTTGGTGTAATTATTCTCAGATTGATGTACATTGTGAAATAAAACAAAAAGTAATTATGTAAATTTCTCCTGTCACTTCCAAGGTGACTGAAAACTGGGATTCTCAGAAGGGGTGAAAGATATATAGATGTAAAACAGAAGTTCAGTAACCATGATATATTCTTGTCATTAATTGTTTTTAAATGTGAATTTTCTAGTTTTGTGTTCTCAAAAGGCTCAGAAAAAAATGCATTATCTTTAGCAACAAGATTATGGTCTCTTAAAATATGATTTTCTACTTAAAAGGTACTCAAAGACAAGTAGGGTTACATCAAAGGGACTCAGGAGCCAGCTTAAAGAGGTTCTTTGCTAAAAGCAAGACAACCTGAGCATCAATAAGGGAATGGGGCCTCCCTGGCGGTACGGGCGGTTGAGCGCAGTGCTGTGAAGCTGTCCGCAGCCTCTGCAGTATGGGTTCGATCCTGGCCAGTGGGGGAGATACCCACATGGCGTGGCAGACCTCTCCTGTCTCACCCATTGCTCCCCTCAGCAGTGTATTTCAGTCAATCTGCCTGTTCTCTTCCCCGCTCTGTCTCTGGTGAATCCTCTCACCCTCCAGAACATCTGACCTATACCCCAGTTCTTGTATAAATAAATAAGTCTTTTTTAAAAAATAGGGGAATGACAGCAACACTGAATATATCAGATATGTTAAAATCCATGAGTTCACAATGTCACTTTAAAAATTAACTAATTGATCACCCTTGGAGGATAATGTTAATAAACCAACTTGTTATTCCAAAAACTGGTAAAATTTTATCCTGGCATTCCTATACAAATTAACTGCATTATAGAGTAGTAGCATAGAGTAGATGAAAGAAGTTTCTCATTACAGAAAATAAGTGAAAAAGGGGTGTGAGAATTAGAACATCACCATTTTACAATCTCTGATGGATTGCACTGATTTTAAACAGTCACTAACAGCAAAAAAAGAGAGACAGCTAGACACACTGTGTCTCCTAGTGGCAGACCATATCACCATCCATGAAGCAATCTCATAAATAAGTGGTCCCTGAATCTGATCAAGTTCCTAAATCCAAATACCAGTTTACTGAAAATATAGTGAATACAATTTACTGGAAAAAACAGTTCCCTAAAAAGCAACACCACAGGAATACAACCAGCAAAATCCAGGTTATAGGAAACTCTATAAAACAAATCCTCTAAAGCCCCCTCCTTGCCTTTGATTTAAATAATTGCAAGAAGAGAGAGACAGAGAGAAGAGGGTGAAACCAGTAGATTAAAAGAGACAATGAAGAAATCACAATGTGTGAACTTTATTTGAATCCTGATTTTAAAAAACTGAAAAAAATTAAGTTATTAAAATATTTTTTTAAAGTGTTGACATTTGAGACAATTGAAAATTTGGATATTGACCAGATCTTTCATGATATTAAAGAAACTATTTTCTCTCAGGTAGTAGTGTGCTTTTTAAAAAGAGTATCTTTTGGTTAAACATACTGAAATATTTATATATGAATCTGAAAATTACATATATGTAAAATAATACATTAACTTAGAATGATTACTTTTTCTCAAAATTTATAATATGTTATCTGAATTTTCAAATGCATTTCTAATATCAGTGACTTCCTCCTCATTGATGACTAGAGGTGTTTTGAGTCAATTCTGCAGAGTATATAAGCTTCACTCCCATCTAAGTTGTAAAGAGTCTCTGATAAAATATTTCCTTTTTTTTAATCATACTTTTTTTTTTAATTTATTTTTGCAGAGAACTGGGGTATAGGCCAGAGATGCCAGGGTGTGTGTGTTGGGGGGGGGGCCAGTGAGACAATTCACCAGAGACAGAGTGGGGAGCAGAACATGCAGAATGACTGATATATGCTGCTAAGGGGAACAGCGGGTGGGACATGAGAGGTCTGCTGCGCCATGTGGGTTAGTTCCCTGGCCGGGTCGAACTAAGCATAGTAGTGATAGCACTGCGACTTAACCCCCACTGATAAAGCATTTTCTGAGGGGTAACTTTTAGGTAGAAAAACTTGCCTTGGGTCTCCCTGGTGGCGCAGCCTCTGCAGCGCCGATTCCCAGCCAGCCAGGGAATCGAACCAGCAGTATATTTCAGTAGATACACCTGTTCTGTTTCCCACTGTCTCTGGGGAATCCTCTCAGCCCCCGTGCCTCTGGCCTGTACCCCAGTTCTTGTATAAAAATAAATAAATCTTAAAAAAAAAAAACTTGCCTTTATTTTAGATTTATTTTATGTTCTTTCAGAGACTAATATAGTAGCTTGCTTTTTTTATTTTAAGATTTATTTTTTTTATTTATACAATAGCTGGGGTACAGGCCAGAGGTGCGGGAGGGTGAAAGGATTCACCAGAAACTGAGCGGGGAACAGAACAGGCAGATGGACTGAAAACACTGCTGAGGGGAGCAGCAGGCGCGACAGGAGAGGTCTGCCACACCATGTGGGAATCTCCCTGACCGGCCAGGAATCGAACCCATGCTGCAGAAGCTGAGGACAGCTTCACAGTGCTGCGCTCAACCCGCTGTGCCACCCGGGAGGCCCAATTTTAAGAAACTTGTACTCCTATTAAGTTCTAGGAGAATGGGTACTACTCTTTATATTCACCATTGTGAACCTAGTACAATGTCCAGTATGTAGTAACTACCCAATATACTGTGGTGAATGAATATGTAATGGTTTTCTGAAGTCTTTATCATAGATCATATGTTTTCTTATAAAGCCTCATACATATTCACACAAAAATTATTTACATAGGAATATATGAATACCTATGTACTATGCACCAAAAACAATGGGAATTTAATGTATTTTAATATAATTTGTATATTATATACACACAATAGTGAAAAGTATTCATATATGCATATGTGAATGTATATATGAATAATTTTACATATTGGTTTCCCCACAGGTTTGTAATATCCAAAGGACAGGGACTAATTACAATGCTTAGTACTGTCCACAGACACCTGACACAGCATAGGTCACACAGGAATCTGGAGGAAGGCCAGGACAGAGAGAATAACTGATTTCTTGACTCTAAGACTAGAAAAGCACAATATGAAGAAAAAGTCTATCATCTAAGAATACTGGTTAAAAAAAAAAAAAAGGAGAGATTGGGGTCAAAATAAGGGGGTTGCAATTGTATGGGGAATATAAAAAATTAAAATTAAAAAAATTAAAAAATTGACTTGCTTATTTCCATAATTTAATAGGTTAATCATAATCTAAATTCACTGAATGATATTCAGCCCTTCCTTCTGTCTTGCCAAGGAAAACGGAGCCACTGTCCAAACACTACTGTTCAAAATATTTGAAAGGTCAGGCTTGAATATCAGTGTGTGGACCCTGTCGGATCTGGGTTCAAACAAGCCAGCTATC